GAAAGATTTGCTGTGATCAAAGACCAGCGCTCTACAGAGGTCTCAAGGAAAACTGCTAAATGTGGAATAAGTCACCACAATCCTGCTGGGTTTCACCGAGGTAGCAAGACTAATCATCACTAGCAGAAATAATGATGATAATGATGCAGGGTGATGAGGTCTAACCCTTCCCCTCCCCAGCCACCACCCTGACAAACAATGCCCATAGTCAGCCTTATGAAAGGCAGAGTTGAAAGCTTAATTTCTAACAGTACTTGAAGTGTGGGGGGGATTTTTGTTGGGATCGTGGTTGGAGAGGGAAGAGTTAAATATTCTCTCCCTGTGCACAATTGTCCCAATGAACATTTTCCTCCTCCTCCTCTCAATTTGCTTGAAACCACAGATGCTACTGTATACTATGATTTTAATACAATGCGTAGTTAGGCTCTTAGTATGTTGAAATGCCAAGGTCCAAGGCATCTTTTGCATCTTAGAAAATAACATTAGAATTGACTTATCCGGTTTAGTGAAATTAAACCAGAAATAAATATAATCTGTGGACAGATGCCTTCTTCACCTAAATGACGAGGAAGGCATCTAGTCATCTGTGCAAATGCACCTTTTCTGTATGTACACAGGTACTTGGTATGTGCCTGACCTTTCGAAAATGAAATCTCCCTCTAAATTATTGAATCCTCTATGCAATATATTTAGAGTGGTGCATACCATTTGGATTCTACCAGACTTCAAAATAAAGATAATTAACTGAAGTATAACGCAGAAATGTGTTCAGATAATGGCAGCACCATTAACCTGCAAACATTATCCCAGGTATTACTTAATTACAAAAGGTTTAATAAGATTGAGAGGTTTATAATTAGCTCATAACTTCTCCCGTATTGAAACATCTATCCACACAACAAATGTTAATTCTTTGAGAACACAGTATCAAATGATCATCATAGCAGCTATTAGACTAAGTTATGAACTAGGAAGTTCCCTGTTTAAATCTGCTATCTGTCACAAATTAAGTAGATCATCTTAGGCAAGGCACTCTCTCCCAGTCTCAGTCATCCTCAGCTGTAATATGAAGACTAGTAATGTTGTTGTTGTTGTTTAGTCGTTTAGTCGTGTCCGACTCTTCGTGACCCCATGGACCAGAGCACGCCAGGCACCTCTGTCCTCCACTACCTCCCGCAGTTTGGTCAAACTCATGCTGGTAACCTCGAAAACACTATCCAACCATCTCGTCCTCTGTCGCCCCCTTCTCCTTGTGCCCTCCATCTTTCCCAGCATCAGTGTCTTCTCCAGGGAGTCTTCTCTTCTCATGAGGTGGCCAAAGTACTGGAGCCTCAGCTTCACGATCTGTCCTTCCAGTGAGCACTCAGGTCTGATTTCCTTAAGAATGGATGCATTTGATCTTCTTGCCGTCCATGGGACTCTCAAGAGTCTTCTCCAGCACCATAATTCAAAAGCATCAATTCTTCGGCGATCAGCCTTCTTTATGGTCCAGCTCTCACTTCCATACATCACTACTGGGAAGACCATGGCTTTAACTATACGGACCTTTGTTGGCAAGGTGACATCTCTACTTCTCAAGATGCTGTCTAGGCCTGTCATTGCCCTTCTCCCAAGAAGCAGGCGTCTTTTAATTTCGTGGCTGCTGTCACCATCTGCAGTGATCATGGAGCCCAAGAAAGTAAAATCTCTCACTGCCTCCATTTCTTCCCCTTCTATTTGCCAGGAGGTGATGGGACCAGTGGCCATGATCTTCGTTTTTTTGATATTGAGCTTCAGACCATTTTGATATTGAGCTTCAGACCATATCAAAATATCATTTTGATATTGAGCTTCAGACCATAGTAATACTGACACTTTAAGGCTGTGGTGTGGAATCTTTAGCCTGCAGGCCTATGTTGGCGTGGTCTAAATCCCAATTAGACCCACATAAATCACACCTGCCTTCCCCATACCCTGACATCATTTGTGGGGCAGGTATGGATGTGGCTACAAAGGAACAATTTGGAGCTTAAGGTGAGTGACAGGGAGCGCACTGAGATTAGCTGCACTAGGGAGTTCCCCACTGGGTGGAGTATAAGAGACCAGACAGTATTAAAGGTACTTTGAGCCCAAGTGAACGAACACAAGAATCCTGAACCTTAAATTGGCAAATAGTGCAGCTCTAAGCAGCAGAGTAACATGTTGCCAGTAACCTGCAGCTTTGGACCAGATACAAGGGGCAACCCCACATAAAACATGATGCGAAATCAATATTTGAGAAACCAATATGCATGTACCATTATGGTCAGGCTATCATGGTTCAGAAATGGTTGCAGCTGGTGTACCAGTTGGAGCTGGTAAAAAGCACTGCTGGCCACAGAGGTCACTCTAGTGACAGAGATCAATCAAGGAATACTCCCAGACTGTGTACCTTAAAAGGGAGTGAAGTCCCATTTAGAACAGGTAATTTGACCCACAAGGCCTCAGTATTTCAGAATTCAAGCTCAGTTTATTGACCCTTATCCAGTCCAACACTGCATCCACGCACCAGTATGAACATGCTCCCGACTCAGATGTAATGGAGAAATAAGAGTTGGTAGCATCAGTGTACTGATGATACCTTGCTCCAAAACACCCAATGACTGCTCCCAACAGCTTCACAGAGATGTCGAACAGAATTGCTGACAAAATAGTGTGGTGCCCCATAGTGAAAACACCATGGAGCTGAAGAGCCTTCTTCCAAGACTACTTTCTGGACACAATCCTGCAGCTAGGAGCAGAACCGCTGCAACACAGTGCTACTGATACCCATCCCACAGATTCAGTCCAGGAGGGTATCATGTTCAATGGTACTGAAGGCCACTAGGGGATCATGCAGAAGGAGCAGGGTTGCACTCCCATCAGGGCAAACAAAGCTGATCCAGTCCCAAACCTATACATACAATGTATAACAGAATGATGTCACTGGGCTTATTGTGAACCTTTCAAAATTCAGTGAACTTTTGTGGTAACTACAAATAAAGCTTTGCCCATAAAAACATATATTAAGAAAAAGTGAGGTGCCGTTATTTCAAGTTATTCTGATCTTGGGTGTGGCTGGCCATCATTCAGGCTATGATGATAAATATAGGAAAAAATGAGCTTTTTAAAGAACATTTAATTTACCTTCTTACAACCTTTTCATAGACAGAGCTTTAAATTAGAGATTTGAAAGAATTTCCCCCAAGGATGTAGTTTAATTTGAAAATATAATTAACTTTGGAATAATTATTGCTACCACTTCACTCCTTCCAACTTCCCTAGAGAAAAAGCAAACTTTTGCTTGGTACCCATGAAATGAGAAAGTCATTGTAATTTTACAGCGTTTAAGGAGTACCAAGGAAGACATAATAGAATTCTATTGCTCAAGGAACAGAAAGGCAAATTTACAACAAAACACTCAAGCGGATTTTGTAAAGAAATAAATATTCTGCTAATCTTTAAATTATTTTCCAAAAGCCAAAACCTCCAATTAAATTTTTGCTTGCTGTGCTGTTATCAGTTACTCCAATTCTGAAAGTTTTGCATACTATAGCACCTTAGTAATTTAGCTAGTCTGTCCACTCCCTACCCCGCAATTCGAATAAATAATGCTGTCAATTAGTTCTAGTGAAACATGTTGGAAACATACTCTTTTTGTCAGATGTTACGACTAACCTGCTCACTCATTAGAAGGAGCATGGTTCTCTGGATAGAACAATTCACATGTATACAATCAATCCTCTGCCCTCAGTTTATTCTTCCTTCTCATTGGAACCACCAGCAGCATAGCTGTCAACCAGGACTTCTGGGTAGTGCAAGTCCCCATAAGCAGTGATGCTGCTGGTAACACATGCAGCAAGCAAGCAGACGTATTTTCCCCATGCAATAGGTGCACAGCTAAGATGTAATATGAATTGCCTGTTGTTGTTTAGTCGTTTAGTCGTGTCCGACTCTTCATGGCCCCATGGACCAGAGCATGCCAGGCACTTCTGTCTTCCACTGCCTCCTGCAGTTTGGTCAGACTCAGCTTTGAGAATTGCCTGGCTCACCACAACTTACAAGGATGTTCTAAGTTACATCTGGAGGGCCACAGCGAGCACTGCCAATAACATCTGGACGGTTCCTCACCCCTGCTCCAAGCCATATATATTATATTGTGCAGCAAGAGGTCAGTCTGCAAAGTTAGGTGTGATGTTATTCTCCAGAGGGATTGGGGCAGGACTGGTAGGGTTAAATGCAGGGTGGCCATTGAGAGGCAGAGCCAATTAATTCTAGTTTTGTTCCCATTAGTTTGCAGGAAAACTATGATTCTTGCTTTATTTTCACACCAAAAGTCCCTAAGACGGTTGGATGGCACTTGTATGCCTCCTTCCAGCAACTCCTGCAGCCAAGCTGGTGCGCTGCTCTGCCTTCCTTTGAACCACATCAGCAAGGCCGAGAGGCGGGTCTTGCTGTCTGGGTACCCAGGACCTCCACACACACGGCTCAGGTTTGTGCCCCAAGGAGGTCACTTAGGTGCTGCCAATGCAGCTGTTTGACTTCATTTCCAGAGGCACACTTCATTGTATCTTGAGACAGATGCCAACAGCACAACTCCTGAGCCACATGGCAACTTTGGGCTCTCAGGCTCTCACTTCATTCTGGGCCTGCAGCTCAGGGCTTGACTCTTTATGCATCTATGATTTTGAGGGCAGGAGGGTGGTTTGACTGCTCCCTCTGCCTGCTTCCCTAAATCTTCAGTCAATGGGTGGTACAGTTTGTTCTCAAAAGAGTCTGAGTCTGGCTCCAAGTCAGGGTTAGGCATGACAATCTACAGTATACCAAGAATATGAAAGAATTTTCTCTAGTACGTATCACAACAAAATCAGTCTAATAAGACTGCACAGCCTTTTTGAAATAATGACATGCCCACTGAAGTAGCATATTAACAAGCAGATCATCATAATTAAATAATGCTTTAAGGTTATGTTAAAATCAAATTCTGTAAAATATATTCTCACCAGAATTACTTGAAAAATAGTTGGAACAAGATGAATTTCTTCAACAAGGCTGTAAAAAAACCCCAGAAACCCAAATTAAACCATTGAACATGAAACAGTGTGACAAAGTCTTTGTTGCTAAAATCTGTGACCCAGAACCTCAGCCCCTGACTACCTCTTCATTTAAATAAGTTCTACCACAGCTATTAAAACATAAGAAATCCAATACTGCTTTAAAAATTACTTCTTGGTCTACCTTACAGATGTGAAGCAAGTGAGTGGAACAGTAAGTAAATTAATATTTTTTTAAAGGCAGATATTAAAATGCATTAAGTCCATCAAATGGGCAATGGAGGCAGTAAAATAATTTGAAGTAATAGGCTACAGTGGATATACTGAAATTAACACACATACACCGAAGCAGCTTTTTATGTATGCTTCATTAGCTATTTTATCTTCTCTGCTTTAATACATTCAAGTATATTAGAATCACATACTGTGTATCTGAGAAGTGATTAACCACCAGGTTTCAGATAAAGGACATTCAACTTTATGACAACAGAGAGCTACAGAAGCCATTAAAAAACTGTTTAAATATGGGAACTTGACCAATTGGCCTTAAACTTCTACCACCTCAAATGTGCTTCCAAATTCCCTTCTTTTGCCATGTTACTCCTTATTTTGCCTCATTTGTCCCTAGTTTTCTGACTCTGCTGTGCTCTCCTACAATTCAGGAGATGAATTTTACCTGAGTTCAGAGAAAAATAATCCAAAATCAACATAAGAAAAGCAAATCTTACACACTTGCACAAGCACGATTTATGTGAGGGTGACAGCACATCAGTCGCCCAAATAGCTGTTGTATAGAGGTGGCCAAAGGAATGGTTATGGAAAAACAGGCTAACCAAAAAAAGTAGATCAAGTCATTAAAAATCAATGTCTTGTGTTTGGTGGACACTTTAGTCTGAACAGAATTTTGAAGCACGGTTAGAAGACTAATTTATACAACAGTTCGTTTTTTATTGAGAGATTCATTTTCCCCAAGTGTCTCGTGAAACGGGGCGGGGGGGGGGGGGGAGATGTAACTGTTCCTTGTTGATATATTCAATAAAGTCTCACCAAATCTCCCATGTAGATTTCAAAGTACTCATATCTCCAAACTTAATATTGACTAAGGCGTTGTACATAGCTGTAACAAGCCCTTTCCCCGTGGGGCCTATATTCAATATATACTTTCTAATTATGAAAGAGTATGTATAGCATGTATGAGGACCACAGAATTGTTGATGAAATTGAAACCACCCAATGGCCATTCATTCCTTGAGACACCATTTGTAGCTGTTCTTTGGTGGGTGCGTCATTTTTTTTGCCCCCAAAACCCCCTCAATCTATAATAACCCTTAGATCCAAATTTATATTTCTACTTAGAATTAAGTTTGAGTCTTTCTGTAAGAATAGTTCTCTTCTTAAGTAAGTGACAGTACAATCCTAAAGATGATCATGCCGAAATAAGTCCCACCATATTCAGTGATGTTTACTTCGTAGCAAATGTGTTTATGATTGAGAAAATACGGGAAAATGTAATTTGATGGCCAGAATACTAGTTCTTTGAGTTCAAGAGGGTTTTAGACTCATTTTTCTAAACAGCAGGAACCTACACTACATGGCTCACTACAGTTAAAACTGAAGGAAGTTTCAAAAGCAGTTTATAATATGACATATCAAGGGTCAGCTGACTGATCTAAGGTGAGGAAAGGACAAGCTCTCTGGATTCTGGCTCACAGAAGTAGTGAACGTACAATTGGATTACCTTGTAAAAACGGGGCTATACTCTGTAAGGGCAACTAACAGCTTTAGACCATAAGCAGGTACTGGGTCAGGTGCCATTAGAATTTGCTGAAACCTAGAACAAAAGAAAGAACAACCTTGTGAAACACAAATGAAACTATTCCACCCATCATTTTCTGTAGGAAAATATGCTAGCAGTTGATCAAGTGAACCTTCCCTTAATCTGTCCACTCATACATCCTTCTACTGACTTATCTACTTGTACAATTTTTTGAAGGGAAAGCTATGTGTTTTGAACAGCAGAAAAATCAATTTTCTGCTAGTCGTTTGTAACAGGATGACCCTATTAGCAGTGGCAGGATTTGCCTTGGCAGCTTCTAAAGTTCAAGCCAATTTTCTATCTGCTCAGCAGTAGATTTTATTATTAATTTGAGTATATTTTTTGTAATTATCATTTGCTTTTTTTGTTCTCTTTTTTACTCATAGTTGATGTATGCTTGAAGCCACTCTGCAACACTTTTCAGTTGAAGGAAAATTGGACTAATTAGGACAACCCATATATATTATAGTTGAAGAAGCAAAATAACTTGTGTTGTTGTTTTTTTAAAACACACTCAGAGGATTAGAGGAAACCTTGTTTCTCTTTAGGAAGAGCCAGGCAGATTGTAAAAGGGTTATGCAAACTTGGGTGTCCTGCAGCTGTGTTGTTTCTACAATAAATATAGTGAAGGACTGTATAAAATCTCTTACACTGAGACATCTGGCAGAAAAATGTGCGACACTGTTTATTAATCCGACTGCAGTTCAGAAATGTGCAGCCAAAACAGATTGGTTATAGAATTAGTTTTGATTAGAAAAACTGTTCTGTACTTACTGAGGCAGCAATGAGTCTTTAATGAGAGACAGAAGTTTGTTGTTTGAGTTAAGGTTCTCTTTCTCTTCAGCCATGACCTCGTGGCTCACAAGCAGTGATGTGGTTTCTGAGAGCAACCGCAAGCTGAAGAGTCTCCACTCCACTAAAGAAGAAGAAAGGAATCAATGTGCCAAGAATGTGTCCGCACCGATGCTTAATTAAAGCAAAATGGGTATTTCAGTTGATGTGGCCATATATTTACCATTTTGACTGGAGACCAAAGAAACTAAGGGTGGGAGGATGTGATCCATAACCTAAAGGAAGGCATGATAAAGATCTGGCTTCAATTATACAGACATAATGATATTTCATGTATACTGCAATCCACGTTTATTTCCCAATTATAATAAATTACAATTCATAAATAGAGAAACCAACTTCACTCAGGTAAATTGTTTCAGTATAACAAATAAGAATATGTTCTTTTAAAAAATAAATAAATGTACCAGTTCTTAACTGAACACCAACATAGAATTCCAACCATCATTTTTGCAAGGTAATTGGCATTGATTTTTAGGAAAGAAAATACAAACTTCAGTGGCACAATGTTGCTTATTTAAGATACAGACTTGAAGTCTCTGCATCATTCAATAAGGCATTCAGCTCACAAAGTTTGGAAATGAAGTACCTACCTCAGCTAGAACTTAGTCTGCCTGCCAGAAACATGGTGGTCCTTAAAGCAACAGTTGTAGCAGTGAGTCAGGGGAGCAATTCACCTCCCATCTCTTGTGGCAGAATTGGCTCGCATGCATAAGTGGGCAAAGTAGGGGATGGATTCCTTGCTTCTGCTATATATTCTGATAAAGGATCTTGGTGGCCACTTTCTACCCAAAGTCCCAGTTTAAGAGCTTCTGGGCCACAAAGGTCCTCAGCTCCCCTAAAGGGCTTGACACATTGGTCCATGCTCTGGTGGGCTCAAAACCTCAGTCCAATGCCCTACTGGTGAGCCCAGCAACTGTGCCCTGCATCATGCATGACTTAGTGCTCTGGAACTAAACTACAGTTGTAGCCTAAACAAACCAACACAAACCTCTTCTTGTGTATTGCTCCTTGGACCCCAGGTCTTTCCTGTGCATGGTAGCACAAAATGATGGCAAATAAATGACTGTAAATCTCTACTGATCTTTACTTGAGCAGTACTAATTTGTACTTAATTTATAAGTAATTTTCCTTGACAAGGTTTTGTAATGTGAAAAAAAAACCAAATAATCAACTCTAATTACATAATACTGAATATGCTCATACGTACATGAAATGCCTATAGATTAACTCAATTACTGGCTGCAGACCTTATCATTCTGGTCCATTAGTTTGAAGAGAACATCACGTCCATATACTTAATTCCCATTTCCTTAATTTCCTATTGCAAGCAATTTTGCTCCTCTCTACAAACTATTATTCACCACCCAAGGTAGCTTAAAAACTATTTTACTTCATGAAAACAAAGAACTCTGTTGACACTAACTAGCTTAACCTCTGGGACTAATCTTAGACACACATTTCTAGTCAGAGAAAAGGATATCCTATTAAGAAGTTTTATATTTGAAGTATTGATCTGGAACCTTGAACATGTCTAGCTTCAATTTAACAAGAAAGCATTAAGCTCCTTTGGGTGCTCAGCATTTATATTCATGGATTTCAAGTCATGCTCAACCACCACCAATTAGAAGACATCCCTGGAGTGAAAGTATTTCTTTTTTAAAAAAACCAACATTATATATATATCATGCAAATGAATTACTGCACAACGCTGCTAAGACTTATATTCCAATAATTAGTTACACACCTTTTGAGTGATAGAGCACTACTGCAGTTCATGCCACTAACACACACCTGGAAAGGTCATGAACAAGTCATTATGGACCTCTGTATCATCTCTCTAATACAGTGGTACCTCGGGTTACATACGCTTCAGGTTATACACTCCACTAAGCCATAAATAGTGCTTCAGGTTAAGAACTTTGCTTCAGGATAAGAACAGAAATTGGGCTCCGGCGGCGCGGCGTCAGCAGGAGGCCCCATTAGATAAAGTGGTGCTTCAGGTTAAGAACAGTTCCAGGTTAAGAACGGACCTCCAGAACGAATTAAGTACTTAACCCGAGGTACCACTGTATACATTTGTAGAAGACTGTCACCACGTGGTAGTTTGTGTGACTGCTGAGAGATGGTGCTTGCCCTATGAACTACAGTGTGACACTGTGAGGAAGAGGAGGCTGATAAGGACAGGTGGTGGTGGTGAGATGACAGCAGAAGGAGGAGGACGAGGGATGGGGGCTGAAGGAGGTGAGGAAGCTGAGGAAGAAAAGGAAGAGCAGGAGGCTGAGGAGTTGTTGACTGAGGGGGAGGCCCATAGGAGGGAACAAGGACTTGGTGAGACAGGGAGAGCAACAGGGACAGTCCCATTTGCCTAACTATGCTGCCCACCCCCTCAGCCATGTAGAATTGTGGGTACTTTCTTTTTTTCAATTCCCCTGTTCTTGGGTAGAGAGACAGAGGAGGATCTCTCTCACTCTGTGTGTGTGTGTTGTGTGTTGGGGAGGGAGATGCTCTTGGGTAGAGAAAGGGAGAGAAGGCTATAGTGACCCTCTAAGGCAGTGTTTCCCAACCTTGTGCCTCCAGCTGTTTTTGGACTACAATTCCCATCATCCCTTGCCACTGGTCTTGCTAGTCAGGGATGATGGGAGTTGTAGTTCAAAAACAGCTGGAGGCACAAGGTTGGGAAACACTGCTCTAAGGGATGCAGGTGGCGCTGTGGGTTAAACCACAGAGCGTAGGACTTGCCGATCAGAAGGTTGGCGGTTCGAATCCCCACAACGGGGTGAGCTCCCGTTGCTCGGTCCCTGCTCCTGCCCACCTAGCAGTTCGAAAGCATGTCAAAGTGCAAGTAGATAAATAGGTACTGCTCTGGCGGGAAGGTAAATGGCGTTTCCGTGCGCTGCTCTGGCTCGCCAAAAGCGGCTTAGTCATGCTGCCCACATGACCCGGAAGCTGTACACCGACTCCCTCGGCCAATAAAGCGAGATGAGCGCCGTAACCCCAGAGTCGGTCATGACTGGACCTAATGGTCAGGAGTCCCTTTACCCTTTACCTTTAAGGATATAAATACAGTGGTACCTTGGTTCTTAAATTTAATCCATTCCAGAAGGCCGTTCAACTCCCAAAATGGTTCAAAAACGATTTGCTGCAGGAACTTATTGCACTCAATCTGAAGCCATGGAAGCCGTGTTGGATGTTCGGCTTCTGAAAAACGTTCACAAACTAGAACACTCACTTCCAGGTTTGCGGCGTTCAGGAGCCAAGCCGTTTGGGAACCAAGGTACCACTGTACTTCTAAATGAATAAATAAAATTATACACAACTGCCCCACCCCCTCTCCACCTGAGTCAAACATAGTTCAATCACTTTCCTTTTTACCCCCAGCGCTTCATTTCTAAAGCCATGACCCTAATAACTCCTAATGATCTGGGAATACTAAATTCACTAGTGAGAGTTGAGGCGCTAAGCACGCACGTGGCATCAGAACTTACCGTTGAGTGGTAAAGTGTTAACAACACTGGATGTTGCATTATTGCTTCAAATACCGACAAAGCAGTCTTAACTAGTTCTTCTGAAGCTGTTTGACCTGTTGGGAGACGAGGAAAAATTGTAGTACATCTCTTTTGCAAGAGAAGAAAAATGATTTTATATAAAGGGCATGACGGATATCCTAGTTATACTTACCTATTGCTCCATCTAAGTTAGTTTCTCCTGAATCTATTAATTTGACAAAACCCTGAAGAGAAAAATAAGACACAAAAAGAGAAAGGTTAACAAAGACCTATGGCTTTGTTAAATAAATGTGTCTAAAATAAAGGCCACATAGCAATAACAGTAGATTAAGGTTAAAGGTTTTGTGACACAATGGCAGGATCTCCACAGAGAGAACATAATTTAAGCCTCTTTAGCACATTTACAGTACAGTGCAATCCTATCCAAGTCTACACAAGAGCGACAGAATTCAACAGGATCTATTCTCAGGTATCTAAGTATAAGACTGCAACCTTAATTATTCAAATTCAACATAAGACTTCTAGAAAACACAATTTTCTCTTATTTGTGCCATCTTTTTTATCTCCCCACATAATTCATACTTTATGGGTAGACTTACGTGTAAGTAGAGAAAACTGTACCCTACTACATTTTAAGGATAACCTAAATAAATCATCCTTCTGAGGAGCAGCAAAAATAAAATATTAATGCTCTGGGATAAGTAAATACTTTGCTATTATTCCCTCTTCTCTTGTGCCACTTAATTTATTTCCATTTTTCTGATTCAATTTAATGCATAGAATACATTTTATAGGGATGCAAGAGGTATGTCATTGATGCCACAGAAACAGTAATCCACATAAGAATTTAAATATATATGTTATATATAAATTATCAGGTAATTTACATGGCTACCTTTTCTATTGAGAGATGCATTGGGGAAAGCATCATCTGATAAAAAAAATGACCCTGGCACACTGATGATAAATGAGGAACAACTTGATACATTTATTTATAGCCCACCTCTCTTTTTCAACAAAAAAACCTAAAACTGTTTAACAAAAGAAATATAAAATAGAAATGGGTCAAAGCAGATCAATAGAAGGGACACCATTTCCCATCTCTGCAAATTGATTGGCCACGGATGGCATTCCACAGAGGAACAGTATCAAGGGTACATATAAAAATGCACAGCATCTAACTGCATATCCAATAGCCCATTTCACATGCAAAAACACGTGCAAACACATGCAACAGCACATCACAAATCAAACAAACACACAGAACACTGTGTCTTATGCGAACATGCATAAAGTAGTTTTTCAGAAACACAAACAAACATGCAGCAGTTATTGTCTTTCATTGCTGTAGCCTACTCTTTCTAACTACAGCGACTTTCCTTTTGACTCCAACATGGGAGCTGCGATCTGTCCAATATGTGGATGAATACCTGCCCTTGGCTAAATCACTGATTAAAACAGGAACTTATACTGAACCATACGGGAAGTTACTGGTTTTCTGTAAAGTCAAGATCTCCTTGACTCATCCATTTTTGGTGTTCAGCAGTTGCCTCATATGAGAGGAGGTGTGAGAATGTGACCCCACCCCCACCCCCAGGAACAACCTCAGCAAAGAGACAATAAAGAAGGGTAAATTTGAAGACACCCGGTGGCCTTTCGTAACCTTTCTAAAGCAACCTGGATGTACTAGGCATCCACCAAATGGCCACTTTTCGTTTCGGTTAGCCCATAATCCCAGATACTAAGTTTTTATTGTCTTCAGGAAACCCACCCTTCCACAGTAGTTTTGCTCAGTGGATGTTTCTTTCCATTTTGCTCTTGCATGTGTTTGCACATACTTGTCTATTGTCCTTACTTTTATTTCTTTTGACTGTTATTGTTAGGTTGATGTTGAAAACTATTTTTAAAAATTACACACACCGGGGGGGGGGGGGGGAGAGAGAACTGGGAGACATGGATGCTTTACTGAGGCAGTTTCCAAGGTATTAGACCTTGGAGCCAGAATCTAAGGCTATCTGACTTTTAGAAGACACCTGAAGGCAGCCCTGTTCGGGGAAGTTTTTAATGTCTGATGTTTTATTGTATTTTTAATATTTTGTTGGAAGCCGCCCAGAGTGGCTGGGGAAACTCAGCCAGATGGGCGGGTAAAAAAATATTAAGTTGTTGTCGTTGTTGTTGTTGCTGTTTAGCACGGTCGCATTGGCTGCTAAATGTACCACATTACGGAACTGGACCACAACCAAATCCCCGTCAATACCTAATTAGACATGCTGGCTTTGGTGGCACTGTTTGGTCCAATATTGTTAAAATGCCTTTCAGTTACTGGACACTGATGGGGACAGTATGCTCGGTCAATTCTGGCAAACCACTTGTGCACTCAATCCTTGTCCATCATAGCTTTTTAAATATAGCAGGAAGGGGGTGGGCAGCTGGATCCAAGGGGTTGTTAAGGCCTCTTTGAGAGAGGGAGTTGTTCCAGCCTCTTTAAAAGAGGCAACAAATCAATTACTCCTGTCAAAACCTAGCCTGGATCCAGAAGATGTTATGATCAGTCACTCTTGGATCTTAGTAATCTGTTTCATCAGTTTAAAATCAGGCTTCAGGCCTGTGTTTTGGGTGTAAACTGCCTTGGTTGCCTGGTTGGATGGCTTTTTCTATAAGATAACCAAGTAGGACCTTCATGTGCAACATTTATAGCAGAACACCTAATGTCATGCAACTCAGGCACACAATGGGTGATTGCATTCAGCTGCGGACACAAAGGTTGGTGGTTCAAGCCTACCCAGAGACAACTGTGGGCAGGATTTCAGGGGGTTGGACTAGACGACCCTCGGGGTACCTTGCAACTCTACAATTCTATGATTCTCTGACTCTTCCAGAGATTAAGGCTACAAGGAAGAATGAGAAAGTTTGAGAAAGCCACACTGATTCAAACAGCATGTTAAATATGGGATTTAATGCCTGAGATTATTTGCAGCACTCTCTGCAAATGACAATGCCCATCCGATAGAAGTGACTGGTTCCACAGGTGTCAAAGAGGTTTGCTTTTACTCATCACAGGCAACATCAGAAGGAGGGAAAAACATATACACCTTTTCAAGCGATTGCCAATATTTTGACATAGCAGTTCACGAACTACAAACCTAAAGGATGACAGCTTTACCATATGTCAATCTTAAAATTCAGTGCATCACTCAAGATAATCAGAATGATCCACTCCAACCCAAGGTGTTTAAAGCTCATTTGATTTCAATGGAAGAAAACAAGCACATACTTTAACCTTAGCTGGATTTTGCTCTCAATTTATCCTCTATTCCTCATTATTAAAGGGGGAGTGGAGGGGAAGGAACCTTTTATTAAGACAAGAAGGAAGCATCTGTTAAATGATGAGACCTGCGAGGTGACATGATATGGAATTCCAGACACTATGCAAAGACTCTTTCACATAACAAATCTCAATCTCCAGGAGGCCTACATATTAGCAGTGTACCACTGTTTCTTTTCAACTACTACACATTAAAATAAATAAATTTACATTCAGTTACAACCCATATCCTCAACTGCAATCAGACAAAAACTATAGGGCTGATGTAAAGCTGTAATGAGTGACATCCTGTTTAAACCGCCATTCTGCAAAGCAACTACAGAAATGGTTCTTCACAATTTGCCTTGCACAGAAATATACAAATATGCTGATTCATTAAACATTCATATCTTGTACTCTTTGTTCATAAAGTTTGTTTTAGTGAAGAATAAGCAGGACAGAAATGAGAAATAGATACTGTCCTCCTCTGCATTGCATCTGTTCTGTGGAAATTTTTTTGACAGCAATTTGTAGCTCAATACATTAATCCAACCTCTGATAAAACCCAAAGTAATCAAATATTTAAGAGAAGAGAAAGCTTTGCATTTTATTTTTTTACGTGAGCTTACAACTTATTATAATGGTGGTTCTAAAAATATTTCCTTCACAAACATTTCAGTGTCTCTGTGAAATCATACAATGGTGCAGCTAAATAATTTATATTTTCTTGGAATTAAAGGAACACAACAAAAGTGAACATGAGGTCCATACTGCTTCCATTAGGAAGTACTGTAGTCTCCTGTATAAGTAAATCGTTAATTTAAGCACCTGTTACTGAAACATGTTTACTCACCATATTTGGTTTCAAAGGAAAAAATGGTACTCTTAGAGTAGAGTCATTTCACAGCAGCTGTTGCAGACATGGTGAAAACTAACAATACAATGCAGAAGTACTACTTCATTTTAACTGCAGCACTCTGGAGCATTGGGAATCCCAATACAGATTTTATTGTTAATATCAAAGCTAGCATGCTGATGCTGAATGTGACAAATGTCTCAGCTTTCTAGTTTATGCAACTTAGCATTTCATCAACTAAACATAATACAACTGTCCTAGCAAGAAAAATAATATTTCAAAGTAAATACAATATTAAATTGAACGAGCTATGAAGAATGATCTAAAAATTCTGTTCATAATTCCATCTAAAACATTGCTAGACAAAGAAACACTAAACAAAGGAAGATAATAATTACACTGTGCTCAAAACTCTCTTTTTTTTAAATAAAAACTCAGCCCACTCACTTCTCTTATCCTTAATTAAGCTAGCCTTAAGTTTTGCGGGACCTGATGTAAGTGAAAGAGAGATTTCTGGTAGGTCGACAAAGGCTACATAAAGTTTATGAAGCTCCAACAGCAACTGTGTAGAAGTTGGCAGCAAAAGGAATAGAAAGGTAATGTATGCTGATTCTGATCATAGGGGTGCTGTGGTTCTAAGATTATTAGATGCCACTATGGGTGAACTTGTTTAACAGAGAACTGTCTTATGGAAGGACAGGTACAAGAGATAAAAGGAAGATGAGTTGCTGTGGGCTGTCTTTGGACATGTGATGTTCAGTAGAAAACAGGCTACCTGATGTGTAATAGCAGAACCTAATGTAATGTGCATAGACAGTTTAGTGCAGTTCTCTAAAACATTATAGATTTTAACGTCGGAGTTCTTCTTGTGGGGGTCCTTAACTAAATATGTTTTTAAAGTATATACATTATGTGTGTGTGAGAAGTAGCAGTTATATTTTTCTTGAACATGCATAGTTCATACTTCACTAAGTTAAATTAAAAAGGTAAAGGTACCCCAGACCATTAGGTCCAGTTGCGGACGACTCTGGGGTTGCGCACTCATCTTGCTCTATAGGCCGAGGGAGCCGGTGTTTGTCTGCAGACAGGTTCCAGGCCATGTGGCCAGCATGACTAAGCCGCTTCTGGTGAACCAGAGCAGCACACGGAAACGCTGTTTACCTTCCCACCGGAGCAGTACCTATTTATCTACTTGCACTTTGACATGCTTTTGAACTGCTTGGTTGGCAGGAGCTGGGACCGAACAACGGGAGCTCACCCCGTCGCGGGGATTCGAACCGCTGACCTTCTGATCGGCAAGCTCTAGGCTCTGTGGTTCAGACCACAGCACCACCCGCGTCCCTTTTATGTTAAATTAATATATCTAATACATATTAAAATAAAAACTGCTAAAATTGTAGGTATTCCATTTCGCATATAGCTTGTTTTTCTATTAGTTATATGTATGCATATTCTCCACAATCTGAAACCATTACTTACCAGCAAAGTTCCATAGCTGCACAGAAACTCCTCAGTTACAATTTGGGGACGAAATACCTATGAGATATAGAACGTTGAAAAATAATAAGTACTGGGAAGACATGGTAAATATGCTGTAGCATGCAGTAAAATCGAAAATGACATCTTTGAGTCACAGTTGATTAGTAATAGACAGATAATACAATTGTTGGAGCTTTTCAGTTTAGAAAAAAGGTAAGGCAAGGAAAGACATGATACGGATATATAAAATTATGTATGTTGTAGAGAAAGTGGACAGGGAGAATTTTTCTCTCTCTCTTCTGATGCCAGAATTCAGTATCAACTGAAGCTCAACTGTGGAAGTTTCAGAATAGACAAAATGAGTTATTTCTTCACATACTGCATAGTTCTAAAGGGTTCCCTACCACAAGATGTGGCAAAAAGAGCAACTTAAATGGCTTTAAAATGGAATAAGGGAAATTTGTTGAGGATAAGGGTAATTTTGGCTACTTGTTAATTATGGCTATATGTATGTTCAGGATCAGAGGTAGTACATCACTAAACACCAGTTGCTACTGCATTCATGTCCAGCTTGATGGCTTCCCATAGGTACCTGGATGGCTGCTGTTGGAAACAGGATTGTTTGATTAGATTGTTCTGATCCAATGGGGATTTTCTTATGTTTTTATGTATGACAAGTATGAATTAAACACCTTAGAATGTGACAGAGATGGAAGGAGCAACTTGACATAACGGTGTTAGGGCTTAGATAAGGGCTTCAATGTTACTATGTGAAGCTGACTGTCTCCTTCCCTATCTTCATCCAAAACAGTGGTGGAGCATATGGGGTGCGGAGGGCGGCCTCCAGTGTGCAACAGTTCAGGGTAGGAGAGGGGTGGGGAAGCTGCTGCCAACTCCCCTCCTGATCTCTGCAGCTGGGTCAGAAGTGAGCTAGCGCCACAGCTGACGCCGCCGGGCGCAAGGTGTACCGCGGCTGAGGATGGGAGGCAACGCTGCCGCCGATTTGCCTGCTCCCCTGCTTATTTCTGGTGTGGAGCCAGGCTCTGATGAAGGAGCCTGCTGTGGGGATGCCTATGTGCACCCCTCTCAAAATTGTGCCTGGGGCCACGGCCCCCACCACACTATGCCTCTGATCCAAAATACTACATACCGTGAGATTTCCAATACAGTGTTACCTTGGTTTACAACCATAATCCATTCCGGAGGTCTGGTTGTAAACCAAAACAGGTTGTAACCCAAGGCGCACTTTCGCCAATGTGGCCTGCCCCCCCCCCAATTGGTTGTGATCCAAAAAAAGAGGGACACGCAAGTGGAAAACGCAAGAATTACCAACGGTGGAAGAATGGCAGAGGAAGATGATGGATTTCTCAGAGCTAGCCGACCTAACTGGAAGAGTCCGCGACCAGAAGGAGGAGGAGTATCAGGAACAATGGACTAAATTTAATGACTATTTAGTTAAATATGTCAAGTTAAATTAATTGGAAACAGCTTGCAGATACTTAATCAGCTTAGGATTTTATATAAGTTAAGTGATGAATTAAGAGGTTTAATTTCAAAATGAAAAGATCTAAGGATGTTAATGTTCAGGTTAAACTTTATAAGAACTGTGATTTGGAAAACCGTTAAAAGGATATGCATTGAAATTCAACCAAGGGGAAGCGAGGAAGTCACTTAGCAATGTTAATAAGTGTAATTTTTAATAAGGTTATGATTTATGTTTGTTTGTTTTATGCGTTTGTTTATAATTTTGTGAAAACCAATAAAAAATGGGGGGGGGTGAAGGACACGCACTTCCGGGTTTGACGCGGTTGTAATCCAAAACGGTTGTAATCCAAAGCAGTTGCAAACCAAGGTACCACTGTAGAGGGGTGCCAGGAGCAATGGCAGGTAGAAACATGGTGTGTTCTCTTTACTGCCCTCTGCTTTCATTTTATTAAAGCAATGTTTTAAATGAATTCTGTGAAGTTTGAGAAGGCTGTCTCTCCCACTCTTCCACCCATCACCCTCTTTCAGAGCACTGCACCTGTCCACCTCTTGTGTCAACTGGTACTTTATACTACTCCTTGGCTCCGTCTGGAGCAGACACTTTCCCACCCAAATGTAGCACTGAAGGAGAGAGTTAAAAAGGCTTGTGTCCTGCCAGATCACTGCATGCCTTATGGGGCAAATGTCTTGCACATTTTCTCCTTCTGCCCAATACTCAGATAGCTCACTTTCACACTAACAGAAATGCAACAGGAAGAGAACGGGGGGGGGGGGAGAGGTGGGAGCAGAATGTGCTGCTCTCTACGTCACTGTACAGACTGGTGAGACCCTGGTCTTCATGTGCTCCACTCATACTTGATGTAGAACTGGAGAGGGCTGGAAGCAGGGGTGTAGGTTGGAGAAACAAGCCACAAAAGCATGATGTTTCACTTTAATTAGCAGAATAAAATGAAAGTGCAAGAACTCTGTAACAAAACTCACTGGCATCAATTAATGCCAATCTACAACAAGGCAACATTTTGGACTATAACCAATAAAGTGGAAAACGCAAACAACCCAGAAACCAGCAACAGTCTTCATTTTCTGTTCTTTAACAAATTATACCTGGGATGTCACAAGATGAAGTACCACAGGCATCACTGGAAGGCACCCTTTCAGCTGCTTAGCTTGAATTGTTGATGGATGTTTACGTCCTGATACATTTGCTAAAGCAGAAAGAATGTCACCTGCAAAGCACAAATTGCATGCTATTAGCAAGTCTGTGGTCCTTTGCAGTTACTGAGAATAAGCTCCACTTAACAGTTAGACTTTCTTCCGAGAAAGTCTGGGCTGGTACAAACTGAGCTCCTGTGGTGTCAGACACTGTGATTGCAATGGAGCACGAGCGTCCTGCGGTCTGCCATTTGGCTGGGGCTATTATGAAGTAAGAGGAGCACCTTCATGCCCTATTTATATCTATTTATAATTATTATCTGCTAACTGAAAGGGAAAGCTGTAAGGTATAACTCCCTTCTGCAATGGATAACGTTTTTTACAGAGTAGCATTGTTCCAGTTATGTAATATCCTCCAAATATATTCATTAATAAATCATATCGGTGTCTGAATTTTTAATACAGTACAAGTTGATTGTAGAAGGTCCCAGCTAAAATTGAATTTTTCAGGTTTTCAGTATTTTAACCTTGTATGCAATGCTCCACTACTGGTGCTCTAAATAAAGAAACAGGCTTACTTTAGTGCTACCTAATTATCTTATGACCAGAAGTAGAGGCCGGCCCACTAGGGCTACTGGGGCATGGCCCTCCCAAGGAAAATGTCAAGCATCCTCCAAAATCTCAAAGCCCCGTGGTTTTTTCCTGTTGCACAAACCTTTCATATTTCTACTTGAACTCCGAGATGTTCTGCAAACATTTCTGTCAACCTATTGTCCTCTGACCAATCAAGTATTTACAGAACTCAGATATACTATTGGATTAGGATCGGCTACGGCAAAGAGATCCCTCTCGTGTGTCTCTAAGCAGAAAAACCATATGACTGACTAGACTGTCTGAAATTCAGCACCATTATGAAGGCGTCAACTCCATCTGTTATGAGGTTAACCAGCAACCTCAGTATTGACCTAGTGGGGCTGCCTTGAAGGGTAGTTAGAGCAGACACAGAGCTGTTTCCTAAATTGCCCATTCCTCAAAATACATTCTTTGCTGCTAGCCAGAAGAAGGGCATGGTTGCTAATTTGAGCAGCTTGGTTTTAAAAAAAATTATATTGATTAAGAGAGTGCAATGGTAGAGTATCTGTTTTTTGCTTAATCATTTGCAGTTATTTATCCCCCAATAACTGCTCACTAGATAAGCCCAATAACCTCCTAACACCCGTACCAGGTCTAGTGGGCACCAGCCACCACTGATGCTGTGTGTGTATCTCAGTATTTGACTCAGGCTAAAAGTTGATCAACCCCTAAGACACCAAATAGGCAAAATAGACAATGCCCTTTGGCCACACCTCTTAGAACCCAGGTGGGCAGAGTTGCTACTCAACATGCAGACAGATACTCCAACAGGTATAGGTGACTCAACCAGTCTCTCACAAGTAATATTGTTTAAATTACAGAAAATAGTTTTCTTAGGTAGAATCCAATAGTTCAATCCTGGCACAGCAACACAGTGTTGGCAAAAGGTCTCAGAGCCAAATGATATTTCATTAAGTAGGTAATTTGGCCTTGCATGTCTGTTTTTCTTTTCAAAATAGCAGCTGGCAGGGCAGTTAAAAGTATAAAATCACAAAAGTGCATAACACAGTTACAAACAAAGCAATACCCCACTGCTGAGGAGGGGGAGAACCATTGTGCCATCTTGAAAAAATAAAAATGGAATAAATAAGACACCAGGATTGGGACTGCATGTCTAAGACGGCTAATTGAACCCTCATTCAAAAATCCTGATGAAAATCATTATAGCACCTGTCAAGCTGACACAGGAAGGAATCTGTCATTGATGGGTGATCTATTTTTTATTTTTCCCTGGGGAATGGTATGGTCCTGACAATATTTCTGTGGGTTCTGGCTTCTGTCAAGGAGTTCTGTTGAGCCAGAAAGCAGTTAAGTCCTGCTGGCCACACGACCTGGAAAGCTGTCTGTGGACAAACGCCAGCTCCCTCGGCCTGAAAGCAAGATGAGCACCGTAACCCCATAGTCGCCTTTGACTGGACTTAACCGTCCAGCGGTCCTTTTACCCCTACCATGACAAAACAGCTATTAATTTAACAAGAAAAAACAGACATGCAAGGGAGAATAATATATTTAACATGAAGTGTAGTTGGACTCTCAGTGCTGGCACAAGGTAACCTGTAAGTTTCCAGTGATATCCATCACCAGACTCAGCATCAAACTGCAGCCACTACCTTTCCTTTGCTAGAGCCACATAACAACTCCTATGCCTCACTGGTGAAAGACTAATGGAATACAAGATACCTTTCTGACACCACTGCACTGATTTCTGTTGGGTCCCTGCTAAATGAGGACATGCCTGAGAATTCTCTGAAATTACATGCCATGAAGTAGCAAAACTCATAGTTTGTACTGCTAAAGCTCAGACAAAAAGGAGGTTAAGCAGTTTTTAATAAGCATTGTTATAGCTTACATGATTTAGGTTTGAAAAATGTACATCTGAAATGTTTTTCTACTTTTTAAAAATAAGTACTTTAATATATGTGGTTTACAGCTACATCTGCTGGAAGAGACTGAAATTTCAATATTGTTTACATGCAAATCGTCCTCTCAAATCTACAAATAACTAGATCGGTAATTGAACACTTTTTAATTTAGTTTTATTTGCCAATTTGATTATTTTGGACATTAAAGGGCCTTCTTGGTAGTGACACCCACCCTGTGGAACGCCCTCCCATCAGATGTCAAGGAAATAAACAACTACCTGACTTTTGGAAAGCATCTGAAGGTAGCCCTGCTTAGGGAAGTTTTTAATGTTTAATGTTTTAACATGTTCTTAATATTCTATTGGAAGCCACCCAGAGTGACTGGGTAAATCATCATCATCATCATCATCATCATTATTATAAAGGGTTAACTAAATATTATTCACAAAACAGAGGGGCCACTAGGGGCGCATCAGAAGATGGCTGACAATAACATCTCTCCGACCCACATGAGGTAATTAGGAGGCTGTGATGGGAGTAAATAGCCTCCCTACCCCCTCAAGGTTGGGGGGGCTGCCCTTGCCTGCTGTGCCCTACACCACCCCCAAATTTTTGGGGATGGGGGCACTAGGCAGAAAGCCCTCCTGTGGATCTCGGCGCTCCTGGTCGCTGTCTCTGATCCACGCCTCTAGCTGCAATAACTTCAAAAGAAACAATTAGGAGGAAGCGAATGCACATATTTCAAGGAAGGAGGGGGAGTAAAGACTGCTAACTGAAGAGATCTCTGATAAACAAGACGGGTCGGAGGAACAAGAATAAATCATGAGAAGATCACCAAGGCTCGGTATGGCAAAGGGACTGGATGGGGGAGGGGGAAAAAACTTTCCTTTCTTTATGTGATTAACCAAGAATCCCCCCCCCAGTCAGAAATGCCGTTTTAATGACTTAAGCTGTGGATTTATGACTGTGTGGAGATTATTTTCTAACCAAAGCATGTTTCAAGAAGATTGTGGAAAGCATAAGAGCTTTGGAATGACGCAGTTAAAAATACCGTCGCCATGTTGGCAAGTTCTGTCGGAGGACTTAAGTCTGGGAGGAGGAACAGAGCTGCTTTTATATTGTGGGTGAGACTCCTCAGAGGGACTTAAGAGCGACAGATTTGAGAGATTAATGATGGAAAGAGCGATGTTATTTATGAAAGCGATGATATATGGAAACCATCTTGATATGAGGATTGGATGAATGGAAAAATTCACACAGGATTATAATTGGTGTTTATCTGCTTAAGGAGATTATCAGAAGAGATTATAAATAAAAAAAATATACGAACAAGATGAGATGTGGAAACAGCAAGATAAGACTGGATAGAATTATGAACATTATTTGGACTAATTTGGATATTAACGCAGTAGCAAGAAGATGATCGGAATCCCCCTTCGGAACTTGAAATATGGGTCCCCTCAACAAAAATTTAAAATTCGGCTTTGTAATTCGGAATTTATGTGATGTGATTTTATTTGATTGGTCGGCTAATAAATTTTTTAAAAAAAAATAAATATTATTCACAAAACACGTGTAAGAGTGCCCCATTTTTTCTTAAGGAAATGATGGGAGAAGCATGTTTGTTTCTTATCTTTGCCATTAAAACTGAATACAAATTAACAAAATGTTTGTATCCTCACGTATACGAGAAGATATCTTGGCACTGTAATATTGTTTTCAAGTTCTCTAACTTAAACCTCTTAAACCTGCTGTTGCCCTATATATTCAGCAAGAATTCAAAACGCATTTCTTAATTATGACATTATGCCTCACTTAATTTCTCTAGCACTTGCTTTCTTGCATGAAATCCTTGTATATCAAGTAATGCTAAGATAATCTTGTAGCGCTGTGCAATGCTAAAATTCAGTGCCCATCGCCTTCTGTGCTCTGTTCTACATCACTGTTGTGGTGCCCTTTGTGGTGCCGGCAAAACTGCCTCTGCTCCAGCAGACTGGTGATGGTTGAGTCATGGAATAATAATAATAATAATAATAATAATAATAATAATAATAATAAGTAGTAGTAGTAGTAGTAGTAGTAGTATACCCCATCCATCTGGCTGGGTTTCCCCAACCACTCTGGGCGGCTCCCAACAGAGTATTAAAAACACAGTAAGACATAAGAAACACTAAACACGGCTGCCTTCCAGATGTCTTCTAAAAGTCAGATAGTTGTTTATTTCCTTGACATCTGATGGGAGGGCGTTCCACAGGGTGGGCACCACTACCAAGAAGGCCCTCTGCCTGGTTCCTTATAACCTCACTTCTTGCAGGGAGGGATCCGTCAGAAGGCCCTTGGAGCTGGACTTCAGTGTCTGGGCTGAGCGATGGGGGTGGAGATGCTCCTTCAGGTCTACTGGGCTGAGGCCGTTTAGGGCTTTAAAGGTCAGCACCAACACTTTGAATTGTCCTCGGAAACATACTGGGAGCCAATGTAGGTCTTTCAGGACCAGTGTTATATGGTCTTGGCAGCCACTCCCAGTCACCAGTCTAGCTGCCAAATTCTGGATTAATTGTAGTTTCCGGGTCACCTTCAAAGGAAGATGCTGGGAACCATGGATGTCGAAGCTGATGTTTTAGTTCCACTCTAAATGTGGGCGTGGAGGGAGCGGCCACAGTGGTGGAAGCTCCCCAGGAAACTGTAGCACCTACTACCCTCTCTCCACCATTTCCAATTATAATGGTGGAATGCAACCCAGCAAATTCATTCCTATTACCACAGGACCACAACTGTAGCCCTCTAATACTTCTCCCATTACAGCATGTTATCTTTCCTACTGTAACTCATGCCATTACTGCTTTTGGAATGTCAGCGTCTTGAGGCAAGAACTGTCTTTGCTTTTGTCATTAATCCTCTACAGTGCTTCACAAGAAAAGAGCAAAAGGGACCTCTACCTCCTTTTATAGCGAGGCAGCAGAATTTACCTAGAATTTGTGGCAGCTCCTGCACAATGTGATAGATGAGAAGATCCAGGCATTTTGACAGGTATTCATTGCTGCTTTGCTGCTCTTTTCCTGGCATGGCCTTTCTGCTGTCTCTTTCAATGTACATCACCAATCTACACACATAGAAATTCATCTTATATAACAAAACAATGATACTTCTCTCAAAAGATCGCTACAAGAATTTCCATAAGGCAGCATACCCGCTTCTGGAGCCCTCCAGATGTTTTGGCCATGTTGGCTGAAGCTGATGGGAATTGCTACCCAAAACATCTAGAGGGCAGTGGGGTGGTGAAGGCTGCCATGAGAGTGGGTACAGGATTGCAGCATGGCATATAAGCTCTTAAAATCTATTCTACATAAGTGAACCTTCATTGCATGTAATTGTATTAACTTGTTTTCACATTTTACACTTTTGCCCCCCGCCGGCCTTCAGAAGAGGTCCAGGACGTTTCTCCGCTGTCCCGGGAAGGCAGACGGGGGGGAGCAAAGACTTTTGCCCCCCGCCCGCCTTCAGAAGAGGTCCTGGACCTCTTCTGAAGGCGGGCGGGGGGCAAAAGTCTTTGTCCCCCCTGCCTGCCTTTCGGGGGCTTTTAAATCGCCCCGGGACAGTGGAGAAGTCCTCCGCTGTCCCGGGGTTTTTTAAAATGCTGGGGGTGGGAAGAAAAGCCCTTCGTCCCCCCCCCCAGCCTTCAGAAGAGGTCGGGGGACAGACTGTCCCCGGACCTGTCCCCGGACCTGGTCTGAAGTCGGTTTCCCTAGGAACGCATTAATTGATTTTCAATGCATTCCTATGGGAAACCGTGCTTCGCAAGACGAAAAACTCGCAAGAAGAAAAAACTTGCGGAACGAATTAATTTCGTCTTGCGAGGCACCACTGTATTTTAGATTGAAGAGGAATAAAAGTCCTGCTTTAACAAGTTAATTTATAATTTCTTCATTCCACAGAAAGTAATACTAAATCTTACAAGCTTTAATTGGGTGAGTAATCCCTTAGCATCTAAAAAAAACCTCCACTGTGGTTGCTATTCATTCAGGAAGAGAATCACTTCAATAGACCCTTAGGCAATGGTGAAACAGAATGCATAGCAAAGAGAATATATATTTTAAATTTTACTGTTTTTTTTGAATGCTTCACATTTGAAAATGCTTTGGCTATACGTATGATGACTCACACATCTAAGAGCTGCAACAATAGCCTCCAGAGAGCAGCACTGCTGCAGCTGGCGGAAGAAGAGGGGGGAGGGGGGAGCGCACCGCCCCGGCCCCACGATCCTGGTGGGGTGCCATCGCAGCTCCCCACCAGCACTGGGCACCACGCCCCTGCGGACAGTGCGCCACGCCCTGGGATGTGCACCAGCCACCCCCCGTCTGCTCTCTGCCCCCAGTGCTGGAGCATGAAGCTCCACCACTGACTGCTGCCACTTACTAGCAAGGGGAGAGGCAAGGCAGTGATGAGGTTAGGCTGTATGGGCACAACTGCACCAAATTGGGTCTCCTGTTGCTGCCTCACAACCCTAACACCATGGCTACCTTGTCCCTACCAGTAAGCAGCAGTGACAGTGCTGCCGGGAGATTCAATATTGCAACTCCCCCTGCCAGTAACTGTATTAAGTTTTCCATTGTCAAATATCAGGTAGTGAGATTCAAAATGAGCTTCCGATGTTCTTGGGCCATGCAAGAGCTGTATCAACACTTCACAGCTCAATTTCTGACTTGCTCAGAGTAGCTTGGCAGTCTTTCCCATGTCTCTCTATAAAGGTTTCTCCTTTGTTCTGATCAATCAGAGGCTGCTCACTCGGTACTAGTGATTTCATAGTTCTGCCTTGTAATCCACCAAGGTAACAAGTTTGTTGATAGAAACGTGATACAATTCCCAGAGTAAAATTTTAACTGCATAAACCTTTCGATTCAATAATAGCTTAGAGCATCACTTTACCTCGCTTGGCAGCTCAGAAGAAGCATCTCTTTATTATTAATCAAAACTTGTAACAAGACTAGAAAAGCCTTTGCTCGAATGGAGGCAGAAGGACTTTCAAACATTCGAATAACTGTAGTCACAAGCTCCTGGATGGAAAGTTGGGGGGGGGGGGAAGAGAAACACAGTTTCAATGAGAATACATATAACTTCACTCTTCCCCTCTCCCTACCATTTTAAATTAAAACAGTGTATTACTAATGGTATTTTTTCACAAGTCAAAACTACAGAAAGAAATTATGAAATAAAAGTTCTGCTGTTTGTTAGCCAGTATCAGTTTACCATCATTTTGGGGGGTGGGGTGGGGCTCAAGTATGGTCATTCAGTCTCCTTCATGGTATCTGCAGATGCCTGCCCTGCCGTGGTCCACCTTATAGACATCACCAGTTTTAGTCCACACAACCCACAGGTAGGAGGCTATGATTTCCCTTCAAATTGTTTTCCACACTTCTTTTTGTGACATCACAAACTGTAATGCAAACACTTTCCATGAAGTTGTGTCTTTCATGGAAACTGCATACACAATCTTCTGAAAACTAACAGATAACATCAAATTCCTCTTCTACTAAATGCAAATGAATGCACAAATTAAAAGGTGCAATTCCAGCGTTAAAATTAAGGGCAGTTTAGCAGACCAAGTTGGCAACTCTTTAGTTTATAGAACTGAAGATATTGATTTTTTGCAAATGTGTTGTAAGATTAAAAAAAACTTTATTGGCAGTGTTTCAGATTATAAAGGGATGAATTACTTTTTTGGAGATAAATTTCTGTTTTGTAAATTGTATTTTTCAAAATTCACATCCCCAAAGATCCCGTAAGCAAACAATAGTGATAAAGCGAAGAAAATCCTTAGCTATCCCATGTGACTTTGCATTGTTAGGCTGGAGGTATGCCTTTATACAGAAATATGAAAAGATGTATAGTCACTGTGTGGCATACTATGTAGGCTGGCAGATAAATTAAACAGCAGGCCACAGACTTGTCATTATCTTTAATGTAACACAGAGGTCATTGGAAATCTCAAACTATAACATACAGAAGCAATACAGGAGGAAAAGGGGCTGGTAATTATATCAATAAATCTGTTGTTTAGAAAATATAATTGGGTGGTATTTTAATACGTTCTACAAATGACTTTTTGCAGTCTGAACTATAGGTAGCAATTCCAAAGCACAGGAAGAGACTTGGTCTCTTGCCTCCAATTCGTAATACACTAAACTAGATGTTCTATACAGTGGTGCCTCGCAAGTCGAAATTAATCCGTTCCACGAGTCTCTTCGTCTTGCGGTTTTTTCCTCTTGCGAAGCACGGCTATTAGCGGCTTAGCGGCTATTAACGGCTTAGCGGCTATTAACGGCTTTAAGAAAAAGGAAACAAACTCGCAATAACTCGCAAGACGTTTCGTCTTGCGAAGCAAGCCCATAGGGAAATTCGTCTTGCGGAACGACTCAAAAAACGGAAAACCCTTTCGTCTAGCGAGTTTTTCGTCTTGTGAGGCATTCGTCTTGCGGGGCACCACTGTAATGACTCTGAAGGGATTTATTTAATTAAATTTCTAAAATTATAGCCTCCCATGGAACCGGGGATGGGGACAGGCAAAAGCTGACTTTTTATTTTCCTTCTGTCCACATCAGCACACAGATCCCTCTCCCCACTGATGATTCAAGAATTGGGAGATCCTGGTGAATGGCCTGAGGGTTTTTTTCAGGGACTGGCTGGACGAGGAAGAGTGGTGGCAGCCAGTAGTCCAGGAGGTACGTGAGGTGGAAGGGGACTTTGAACCAGGTTCAGACTGGTGAGACAGGGAGGAATCATCAATAGAGAGTGAGAGTGAAGGAGAGAGGTTTGAGGCAGCCACAGGTGCTGATAAAGGAGCAGGGGCTGGGTCTCCTGCTCTGCAACACAGTCCTGATTCAGGAAAGAAGGGTCGAGAAAAGGCGAGAACAATTAAGAAAAGCTGAGACACAGTGAAAAAATGCAAGGAGGGAGGTATAAATAAGGGAGGGAGAGGATGGAACTTTAGCTTCTACAACTGACGTGCTTATCTGATGGATGTGCTGTGTGCTGACTCCTTGATTACTGAGCAATAAAGTTAATTACTGCAAGCACTGTGCCTGGTTCTGCTTACAGTGTCGGACAACAGATGGAGGGGCTTTTCTGGCAGCCAGACAGGTTCACTGTGAAAAACTGGGTAGAAGGACCTTCAAAGGTAAGCATGTGCCATGTCTGTGCCATGCAGTTTCTGCATGTGAAACAAACATGGTCAGAGAAAGTAATGTGTGGGATGTATGGAATCAGACAGACCAAGCATAGAAACAGGAAGCCTGAGTGAATCATGCCCTCCTTCCTGTCACCTGACTAGCTGAAGACCCAACAATTGTGTCCAAACAAACCTCAAAGTATATTTTATGATCTGCATATTAACAATGTATACAAAGTAGAAAGAAAATTATGGCCATTATTCAGATTTCCTGCCCCCCACCAAACTACGAAGTGGTAGATTTCAAATAAATATATACTAATTATGCCAAGGATATGCAGTGGTCTTTTGCATTGGAAACTTCTATTATCTCAGTATGCAATTACCCTGAAATCTCTTGTACTCCATTACTCCTGAGATCTTTAAAACAGTGAGATTTTTAAATGCTATAAATAAGAGTATAAGTACAGTTTCCCTAAACTTTTTAAATTCCCCCCCAAACCACCCACTTTAGGCCAAAGTTTGTATGAGGAGTAAGCCATTTTATTATTGAAGAACTATAATAAAGTCCTAAAATAAATATTTTCTAAAATAAAAAAAACAAAGCTACAAAAAAAACAAACCAAACCATTTACCAACATCTAATCAAATAATTACAGAGATCACAACCATTTTCATGGACTGATAGCTGTGGTTTTTTTGTATGGTTAAGAAGAAGTCCAGTTTACTAAAAAGTTTTTTCTGCGTATTTCACTTACAAATTGGCCTAAGGTCCTTTAAGGATAGCATAATCGCAGTACAACGTTAGTTGCAATTGTTGCAGTCATATTTTTTTCTTTTAGGTGTCTGGGAAGGACCATGCTGAAGTAGTTGTCTTCATACATTTCTCATTGGTTTTTTCCTTGTGGCCATTATCTATAGGCATACTACAGCTCATTGAATTTATTGAATTTCAGCAGCAATTCAAGTATAGATTAGTTCTACCTCTTGGGACTTGGCAAAGAAATCATGTCAACTTCTGTGCCTCATTATTTTATATTCAGCTTATTTCAGTTATTATTCCTTCTATTAGTGAAGTTCAGGGTGTATGCTGATATTTATGTAGGTAGAACATTAGCACATTAGGGTTGGGGAAAGTATGAGAAGAAGAAGCGGACACGGAGCAATGGATCCAAACTACAAGAAAGAAGATTCCACCTAAACATTAGGAAGAACTTCCTGACAGTAAGAGCTGTTCGACAGTGGAGTTTGCTGCCAAGGAGTGTGGTGGAGTCTCCTTCTTTGGAGGTCTTTAAGCAGAGGCTTGACAACCATATGTCAGGAGTGCTCTGATGGTGTTTCCTGCTTGGCAGGGGGTTGGACTGGATGGCCCTTGTGGTCTATTCCAACTCTATGATTCTATGATTCTATGTTATTTAAGAAAGGAAAGGAAGGAAAGGTGAGGTCCCAACAGCAAAACTGGAAAAAAAGTCTGCATATGCAGGTATTTATTTGTGTAGAAAGCTGAAGGGGTAAGCAGTATGGAAAAAAGCCCAACAATGTCCTCTAGAGCTCAGGACATGGCCAATTGTACCCTCTTCCTAGCAAACCCTTCCTAGCAAACTGATTTGCAGAATCCATAAGCCATCAATCCTCTTGGGAAGAGCTGCTGAAAATCTTATGAATAGCAGCGAAAGGCACTTTCTTCTGGAGGCAAAAGCAGTGAAGAGGCTGATGCCAAGAAACAAAAGGGGGGATGGGGTGACAGGATTGGAGCCAATATGGGAGCTTAGAGAAAGAGGAAGGAAGCTACATGTTAGAGGCAACCACAAGGTATGCATGCAGACGTATGCAAGTCCGAAAAATTTAGTCTCTCAAAGGGAGAAAACCGCTCCCAAAACAGTTAAGTGGGAAGTGAGCAAACTTTAGAAAAGCCTAGGAAGTTCTTTTAATGTCTCAATCATAAAAACGGTCTAAGAATAGCAAAGTGAGTGCTGCTGGAGGCTCACAAGTGGAAAATACATATGGCTGGAACTTTGCTTCTCTTTCTAGGCAGGCATGCAGACCAAATCAGCGGTGCACAGCAATATCACACAAGCAACATTTCAATAACCTTAGTAAGATGACAATGGCAGCTAACATGCAGTCCTTTAAACCTGGCAATACTAGTTAAGGTTTCACTAGGCTTCCCTGGACTTCTCTAGAGAAGGAGGAAATCCCTGTCAATTTCACCAGTGCTTTCTTTTTTACGTTACTGAGAATTCCTTCTACACTGGAGCAGAACTATACAAACACAAACGCAACACAACTGAATGAATCGTGATACCACTGCAAATTGTGTGGAGGGGAAATCATACAATGGCTAAGATAGACCTCCCTGAATAAATCTGTTTTTTTAACCAACCACAGCAATTTTCCTCTGATGAGAACACCTTTCTTGTTGCTCTCCAATAAGGGGTTTCTGAAACCACATACAGTGGTGCCCCGCAAGACGAATGTCTCGCAAGACGAAAAACCCGCTAGACGAAAGGGTTTTCCGTTTTTGAGTTGCTTCGCAAGACAATTTTCCCTACGGGCTTGCTTCGCAAGACGAAAACGTCTTGCGAGTCTTGTGATTTTTTTCCGCTCCCCCCCCCTTTTCTAAGCCGCTAATAGCCTTTTAGCCGCTAAGCCGCTAAGCCTTTAATAGCCGCTAAACCGCTAATAGCGCTAATCGGGTTGCTTCGCAAGACGAAAAAACCGCTAGACGAAGAGAATCACGGAACGGATTATTTTCGTCTTGCGAGGCACCACTGTACCTCGCAAGACGAATGCCTCGCAAGACGGAAAACTCGCAAGACGAAAGGGTTTTTTGTTTTATGAGCTGCTTCGCAAGACGATTTTCCCTATGGGCTTGCTTCGCAAGATGGAAACGTCTTGCAAGTTTGTTTCCTTTTTCTTAACACTGTTAATACAGTTGCGACTTGACTTCGAGGAGCAACTCATAGCACGCGGTGTGGTAGCCTTTTTTGAGGTTTTTGAAGACTTTGGTGATTTTTGAAGCTTTTCCAACACCGTGCTTCGCAAGACGAAAAAAATCGCAAGACGACAAAACTCGCGGAACGAATTAATTTCGTCTTGCGAGGCACCACTGTACCTGCCTGTCTGCTTATGAGACTGACTACAAGGTAGTCAGTCCTTAGCTGAGTTCTGAGCACAGTTCCTTAGCTGTGGTAGCCCCCCTTCATATCTAATAATATCAGATGCAGGAAAACTTCTTTTGTTTTTATTCTCTCTCATAATTTATTTGCTTCCATAGAGAAACATTCCCAAGGGTGGTGAAAAACAGCAGTATACCCCACGTATCACTAGGCATCTAGGGCAGGGAGGAGGCAAGCAAAACACACCTCTCTTACTTTGTTTTGACCCCTGCTGTTTATGTTTGAAGTGCTACTATTTTATGATTTTTTGTTTTTCTTGTATGAAAATTTCTCGAAGATCACTTTAATGGAAAGGTCACTTACGCCTGTTTATTTAAAACTAAAATATGAACTGGCTACTGTAAAATTTATAGACGGTTTATAGAGATGTCTTTAAAATCTAGTACAGCACACAGTAACAGTCAATAAAAAAAGTTTATGAAAAATATTTGTAACACAAGAAAATGTTTAAACAAACCTTTTCCTGAACCAGCCTTTGCAAATGGATTCCACATGACAACATAGCGGAGAACATAGTCATCATGTGCTGTTGAACTTTGCATATTCCAGTTGCAAGTGAATGTATCACTGCTGGTAATCCCACCTTTTCAATCACACTCTGGAAAACACTAGGTGAGTGACGAGTAATTTTGCACAACGCCTGTATAAAACAAAAAACTCTGTTGAATGTTTTCAGTTTAACAAATGTAAATACATACTTTGTAGCAATATTTTTTCTTTTAATTAAATTTATAGGCTAATTTATAGTCTTAAGAACCCTCAAAGTAGCTCCGAGGTTTCAGTAGTGAAACAACACTGTTTCCTAACTTGGCATTTTGCTTTCTTCAAAAATCTATGTTTAATTTTAACATGTTGAACAGTGTATTGAAATACAAAACACATCATTGTTTAACTTGTCGGTTTGCATTTCTTAGTACAGAAAGTACTGATCTGATGTGTAGAGGTCTTTCCTATTCTAATTCATTCAAGAGGTTTCTGGAAGCTTCTCTGTATGAAAGAAGCTTCATGATTGTTTGGGTTATACCTTCAGAGAAGCTGAGTGTACAGCTGGCTTGATCTGGTTCTCTTATTTCTTCCAATTAAGGTCATGCTGACTATAAATATAGGCCAGAAGGAGCCTGGGTTTTACTTTTTCTTTCTATCTCTCTTCCTTCTGGTGTGGTGTTCCATACATAGGATGCTTAGTGCTAAGGTTTAGACTTATTGTAAGTTATTGTAAGTGCTGCAACTGGAATTTTATGGACTGTGCCAATCCTGAATGTATTGGATTTGTGACCATTATGCTCATTTGCCTTCAGTAGCAAGTAAAGCTCTGCTGGATGAAGTACAATTGCCTCTAGTCTTTTTGAGGGGAACTGTGCTATCTGTTTAAGTTTTTTCCTCTTCCGGCGCTGGCGCAACCTGTCTTCTATTTCTTTGACAATGGCAGTTCCTGACATTGAGAGGCAGCCTGTCACCAGAGCTGCCTTCTGTTCCTCTTCATCCTGTAGTGCCAGAAACCCAGGTTTAAAAGAAATCAGGCTGGATATAATTAAGCCTTGTTCCAGCAAAGCAATGGGAACAGTCTCCTTCCTTTAACTACTTAAGCATCCCTTAGTTGTTTATATCTGTTACTTGACCTGTGTTGCTTGTACCTTTCCTTTAAATAAGGTTCCATATTGGTAAGGTAAAAGATAAAGGACCCCTGGACAGTTACCGTATTTATCACCCTATAGGACACACTTTTTCCCCTCCAAAAATGAAGGGGAAATGTGTGTGCGTCCTATGGGGCGAATGCAGGCTTTCGCTGAAGCCTGGAGAGCGAGAGGGGTCAGTGCACACCGACCCCTCTCGCTCTCCAGGCTTCAGGAAGCTGTCCGCAAGCCGTACGAGAGCTGCGCGACTTCGCGCAGCTCTCTCACGGCTTGCGGAGTGCTGCCTGCACCCAGAAGCCTGGGGCGCGCTGAGCTCAGCGCCCCCAGGCTTTGGGCTTCGCGCAGCTCTCTGCAAGCCGTGGGAGAGCTGTGCGAAGTCGCACAGCTCTCCCACCACTTGCGGAGAGCTGCTTGAACCCAGAAGCCAGGGGCGCTGAGCTCAGCGCCCCCCAGGCTTTGCGCAGCTCTCCCATGGCTTGCGGATAGCAGCCTGTTCTGGGGGCTGGGGTCGGGGGAAGCTCGGGCTTCCCCCGCCCCAGCCCTGGGGGGGGGGGAATAATTTTTTTTCTTTATTTCCCCCCCAAAAAACTAGGTGCGCCCTATGGGCCGGTGCACCCTATGGGGCGAAAAATACGGTAAGTCCAGTCAAAGGCGACCTAGGGGGTTGTGGTGCTCATCTCGCTTTCAGGACAAGGGAGCTGGCGTTTGTTCACAGACAGCTTTCTGGGTCATGTGGCCAGCAGGAATAAACCACTTCTGGTGCAACGGGACCCCGTGATGGAAACCAGAGTGCACGGACACGCTGTTTGCCTTCCTGTCGCAGCAGTACCTATTTATCTACTTGTACTGGCATGCTTTCGAACTGCTAGGTTGGCAGAAGATGGGGCACTGTGGTCTAAACCACTGAGCCTCTTGGGCTTGCCGATTGGAAGGTCGGCGGTTCGAATCCCCGCAACGGAGCGAGCTCCCGTTGATCTTCCATATTGGACACAGACATATAGTATGCCTATTCAAGAAAATCTTGTTGTATGGTAAAACAGAGGCCGCTGTAAAATGCTTTGGTGGCTCCCAGTCAGAACTGAGAGGGTTGGTAGAGGAGTTCCATCTGAAATCTTGGCAACATTGTTTGGGATCCTATTTTAAGGTTTGTATGAAATTGTATTTCTTTTGGAAACTTAGTGAAGTTTCTACATTAATATTTTGCATAAGGCCACCCACTTGGATCTACTGGCAGCTCAACTCAACTGCACATATGTACATGTAGAATATTATTATATTTTTAGTGAGCTGACAAACCATGACCTTCCCTTCAAGACTGAATTAGCCCACATTTCAGTAGCTTTATGCTTGCATAGGGGTAGCTATTAAAAAGATTTAAAGGATTATAGGTTCAAACGGATTTTGACTAACAAGGGCAAACATATGCTGCTTATTTAGAGGCAAATCATAACAATCCATCTTGTAATAATGATTCTAAAATTTAATAGAATAATTTTGGATTTTGACACTAGCAAGATGATGAAAGATTCAGTCTTGTTAGAAGGTATGTCTGTGGCACATACCTGAGGCAGGTTACACTGCAAAGCAAACAGAAAATGTTGTGACATAGTTCTGGACTATCAACCATGACAGATAAGACTGCAGAGGGCAGTGATATTTGCTATTCAACCCACAGGCTACATACCTAGTACTTCTGGAATAAAGACTTTCCTAAATACATTTTTATTATTGATTTAAGAAATAATAACACCACCAGCATGATTCTTTTAATATAAACATTGCACTAAGAAAACACAGTGTCTACTTTCTCCAAGTAAACTTGCCAAAGCTATCAGGGGAAACTTCTCAAAATACTACATAAAAATGTCATAACTTAATTTAAATTTTTTTTGGGGGGGATAGAAAACTACAATGCAAGCCCTATGGGAAAACAGTATTATACAAAAACACTGTAGCCTAAATGCAGAAAATGGCATTAGTTTATAAGGAGGTTTCAAATCAGCATACAGCATATTCAGTTTGACCTGAAAAAGTGGTACCTTAACTTTTCTTATTGCATTAAAAACAAGGATAATTCCGGTGATAATTCCCCTAATTTTCTGTTCAAATACAATTAAAATGAGATTTTCAACTTTGTAATTCTAAAATGCATATTGAAAACATAAGGTTTTTATTTAGCTACCCAGATACAATAAAGTAAACGGGGAAACATCAAAAGTAACTCATTTTTACTTTTAGCATATTATTTTGAAAAAGGGTAGAAAATAACACCTCAAATTTGGACTCCATTTTAGTTGCTATTTACAATAAGCAATGCCAAAGAAACAGCATGAACAAAAATGCACCATTTTTGAGAAGAGAACCTAGAAGGACCTTAAGATGTTTATTACACAGCTGATGCTTCAACAAATGATGGAGCAGTTCTTCACCACTGTCCTGCAAAGTTCAGTAGGGAACATTCCCTTCTACCTGTTGTTCCATATATATGACATTTGTCTGAAAACACAGGTCTATTAAAAAATGAGTACCCTACCTCTGTGCCCAGGCGTGCAGGCTATTTTTCAAAATAATGTTGCTTAATGCAGGAGAACAAAGGTGAAAGCTGAGGATTTCTAATCATATCAAAATGATTTTGCAGTTCTGTATCTTGAACTCTACTTCTAAACTGTACTTTAGCTTCTGATAGGTTAAGAAATCTTTGCTATAAAAGCAAGGAATCAAATATATTATAAAGAATATAGACTGAAGAGCTTGATGAACAGAACCAGGATTATGCTATTTACATTAATGAAGTTCTACTTTCCTACAAACTAATTTTAATCAGTGTTAACCATTTCATCTCAGGGGGCTGGGGGGGGGGAAAGGACAATCAGATCTTAGATCTTTTAAGTTGAGCAGGAGTAGTTCCTGGGAAATCAAGTAAAGACCTCAGCAAAAGTGTGACTTTGATTTAAACTAAAAACAACAATTACACAGAATCACAGACTTGTAGAAGTGGAAGGGACCAATGAGGGTCATCTAGTCCAACCCCCTGCAAAGCAGGAATTCATTTTGAAATTAGGAATAGTTGAGCAAAAAGCAAAATGCCAAGACAATAGTAATATGCCCTACTATGTATATTTCAACCATAAGGAAGATGAGAGACAGCTTGGAAGAATTTTTTTTGGTTGAGTCAATTAAATAACCACCCATTTTCTTCAAAATGAGTATGAGTTGCATCCAAAGGTAGTTTTGCCTTAGTATAAAGAATATATTTCCAACCTATCCTAGTTTTAAAAATGAGAAGAAATGAAGCATAAAAATTAGGAATGATGTACACCTTTATTTTTAAAAAACAAAATCTGCTTACCGAAACAGCAGTTATTCTCAAAGAATCTATGGTTGAATGTGTAAAAAGATACCACAATATTGGTCCAATTTCTCCAGTAATAAATCCCTGAGCATAGGAAGAGAAGGTGGAGCATACATTTTCAACAATCTTTGCTGCCATATGGTTTACAACTCGTTCTTCCTAGAAAGAGAGAATTTTTAAAAAAATTAGCTATCACTAAGTAAAAATTAAATTCAAACTATAGCAACTGCTGATTGAGACAGGGAAGGACCGCATGTAGGAAATCCCTAGGGCGTGATTTTCCACACCTCTGGATAATAATTTATTTCTATTTTTCCCATAAGGGCAGATTCAAACCACTTTGCTTCACATGTTATTTCTACAGTAAAATGACTCCCACTTATCAACCGTTAATGAAGCATCAACTCTAGTTTACTACACCAGTTCCTAACAAAGAAGTCCACATTTCAACAAGATGGAATGGATTATCCTAAAAAAGTGGGTAAAGCAGACATTTTAGCCTTGCTTTGCCATACAATAATCCTAGGATTATTTTGTCATTTCTTTGCCTCATAGATTCCAACAAAAAGGACACAAATGGATGAAGGAAGACCACATCTCTTTGGCACTGGAGTCTTAGAGCTATTCGTGGGAAAGCAGAGGGAGGAAGATATATTTTTAATTAAATAAATTATTTTATAAACCTGCTTCCCCCTTTTAGTTTTGTTCCGACTGAATTTATTTTAACCATATGACACAGCACTACAAATTGCTGTGAGCCATTCCCAGTATGACTGTATTGTTGAGAGACAATAACCACCAATAAAAATGGGGGGGGGGGGAGAGACAAAGTGTTTAATATTATGAATCTTTATTTAAAGTGTAATTATTAAATCACTTGGGGTTCTAATTTTGCTTTAATTCAGCACAAATTAAAACTACTTTCAAAACAGATCAAAACCAAAGTAAAAAATTAACAGATAGCAATTGTTACTATAAGTAATATATCTCCAGCAACATAAGGCAGTAATTTAGGTTATGTACAGTCAAATGTATTCCTTAAGGTTCTCTTTAGTTTGCATATGGCAGCCAATGACAAAATGAAGCATGCCCTGGACCAGATAACCATAGCATCTTGGCTGGAAAAGGGTCATGGATTGTCACTGCGTTTCATGAACTCAATGAGGCTGTCAGACTAATTCAATTTGCTGCCACCTGAGATAGGCTCTCTTAAGCCCCTCTGGGATCTATTATCAAACAGTGTATACGCAGGAAGATTGTGCCATTTTCTGCTTAATTAGCTTCTGGAAAAGAAGACTGAACTAAACTAATATTTGGTCTCTTATACTGAAGGGTTCATTTTGTCATAACAAGAGCATATAAGCTACCCTGCTTGACAAAAATGAATCTATAAGACATGATTATATAGCTTTCCTCAAACCTTTCGTCTGTCCTGTATAGTTCATAAACACCGACTAAACAGAATGTTCAACATACTTTTTAATCAGATTCTAGTTAATACTAATAATCAAATTCAGGAGATATTAAACACCTATTAGTTAAGCAGAAGTTAAAATGTTTAAAACAATCACATATTTTACCTTTCGCTATAGAGCCCTGGGAAAAATCAGACCACCTGCTTCTCATGATAGCTAGGAAACTAAAATGCTGTAGGGAATGGCATGGCACCACCTAATTGTTCACAACAACAGACAAATATGTCATCCTGAAAGCTGAAGTTAGGAGAAGGGAAGCAACAGTCTGTTCATCCTGCCAGCAGTCCAGCTCCAACCATCATGGCATTCTAAACTCAGGTCCGACATTGGCAGTGGGCATAGTTAGGGAGGAGGAGGACAGGTGGGCAGTGGTAGTGGCAGCTCCTTCACTTCTTCCACATCATTGCCAGACTGCCCTCCATAGGAAAAGAAGGGGGGAAAACCAATGGACCAGACATAACTCCATCTTGCCCTCTCTGACAGTGACCAGACAGATACAGTGGTACCTCGGGTTAAAAACTTAATTCGTTCTGGAGGTCTGTTCTTAACCTGAAACTGTTCTTAACCTGAAGCACCACTTTAGCTAATGGGGCCTCCTGCTGCCGCTGCGCCACCACTGCACGATTTCTGTTCTCATCCTGAAGCAAAGTTCTTAACCCGAGGTACTATTTCTGGGTTACCAGAGTCTGTAACCTGAAGCGTATATAACCTGAAGCGTATGTAACCCGCTTGTCTGGTCACTGTCAGAGAGGGCAAGATGTACCACTGTGCTTCCAGAGAAGTTCCAGTTGCAAGATGGCGCCATCATTTTGTACAGTTCACTTCCAAAGCCACTTACACTAGTAGTCATCACCACACCTTGTATTCCATATCTTAATTGTGTGTTGTGTGAAAGAACATATTTTTGTCTCTTCTGAATCTATTGTCAATCAGTTTCATTGAACACCGTGACTAGAGGAAGGAAATGTTTTCTAATCAGTTTCACCATGGTAGGCATAATTTCATAAATGTCTATCATGTCCCCCCATAGTCATCGTTTAAAAATCTCGTTTGTCATTGTGCTGCACATTCACCAATTTACAGTACAATCCAACTCAAATCTACTCAGAAGCCAGCCCTGCTGAGATCAATGGGAATCACTCTGGCATAGGGCCATTCTTAAAAGCTCTTTTGGAAAAATGAAACATTTATTTCTGTTTCCCTGTTCAATACCTAACAATGGTGCCACTAGAGGGAGACTGGGGCCTTTTTCAAAGGTACAAAGGGCCTATGTTTCTTTTCTCCAGTGAAGCGCTGGAACAACAGGAAACCCTAGTACACTAGTCCTGCCCTAAAGAGCACAAATGCTGTTGAATGTGTGTGTGTGTGTGTGTTTGCTGAGTCTGTTTTCCCACACACATTCTATGCCTGTGTGTGCAGGATCTTGTCTGTTCCTTTCATCTGCTGTGTGTGTAGATGGAAGCTGAATGCCCATCCTTTTGCTGAATGTGTGCATTCACATGAATAGAAATGTGTTGATATGAGATTATTCATATATGAAATGAGCTCTGGCTGGTATGCAACTCTCAGAAAGGTGGCAAATCCTTAATGTGGCCATCGAGCCACAAAAGGTTAGCCTTTTCATTCACAGTGACATCCAAGTCAAGCCTCCTTTCCCTGGTTATAGATCTTTAGATTATTTCTAATGTCTAGCCAATGATTCAATTTTATTGCTTATTTCATCAAAGCCTTAAAATAAAAGGCATTCTAACAGTAACTGGGCCCATGATTGACTCCAGAGGAATTCTACTTTTGGATTTTAAGAATCCATTCAGATATTCAGAATAATCCAACCATTCCCTGTTATTTGGAAATTATCTTTCATCAATACAAATATGCAAATGATAAAGAAGTTTAAAGACTCTCTCAAGGCATTTAAAAATGTAGTATAAACACCAACAATTGGGAAACACGGGCCTGCGAGCTCTTCAACTGAAGAACAGCCTTTACCAAAGGTGTCATGGTCTTTGAAGATGCCCATCTTAGGACAAAAGGGAGAATTGTGCTAAGAGGAAGGCACACTTGGCAAACCCTCACCATGATCAACTCCCATCCAGAAACCTATGTCCCAACTGTGGAAGGACGTGTGCATCCTGAATTGGCCTTCACAGTCACTTACGGACTCACTGTTAAGAATGTGTTCATGGAAGACAATCTTACTCGGCTACGAGTGATTGCCAAAGAAGAAGAAATATGTTTTGCTTGATGTTTTTCTTCCTATAAGCATTTCACCCCTCCACATCTGCCATGGGCATTAGTAATGCCAGCTGGCCTCCTGAAAATAGCAAATGTAGTCTTCTTTGTGGCTTTAATCCAATGTTTTCCATTTTATATAATCTTGGGTTATAAATTAAGGAAATTATCCCCAAACCAAACACACAAAACGGCAAACCAAAATTGAACCCAACCCAAAATGCCATTCTAAGGATATGACAACTGGGAACATAAAAAGCTCATCAACTAATGTCTATAAAAACAAGTAAAAGAATAAAACTTGCCAAGTATAAAACTAAGAAATTGTATTTGTTGTCAAAGCTTTCCTTTAAAAAATACTGTAACTTAAAATTAACCAGTTAATTTTATTTCCAAAATCAAACGATAATTTATATGCTAAGCATATCGGAGAACACTTTTTCTCCCTTTTGCACTTTCTTCTTCTGTGGGTCATGGTCTTATGATTATTTAAATTCACGAGCAATTCTTGGTTGATAAGGCACTGCAGTGCTGCAGGCTACAATCCTCACACAATGCCTAAAGGGTTATTACAATGGAGAAATTCTATTGAGAACAACAAAAGAAACTTACCCCTTCCCGAAGGCACCTCATTAGCACAGTGTAAGCAGCTGAAGGAAGGGCCCAGCATTCTCTGGGGTGCTCCTTTTCCCCTTCCTGTAAATGATGTGGAAGGGCCAGAAATGAAGTGAACAGTATAAATTATGTTAAATCTTTATGGGGGGAAATGCAATTTTATATGCACACATTCTCTATGAACCTGTCTGTTTTTAAATGATGCCTCTTATGTCACTGCATAAGGAACTGGTTTTGCTAAATATGTTAACTTTAGTCACAAATTAACAACAGTTCTGCCAGCCTTTTAAATCAATGGTATATTTATTTTCAGATCAGTCACATGTAGGCAGAAGAAGCTCCTGGACCATTTATATATATATTTTTAACTTTGAGCATCTGAATAGACGGGTTAATATCTTAATATTTCCCGCTGCCCTACCCCAAGGCAATTACTTGTATCTCTTTTTCGGTTTGCAAAGACTATGCAAGGGAGATCAGAGTACTAAAGGGTTCTACAACAACAGAAAGAAACAAGACAGTTGTGAGAGCTTCATTAACTATGAATTCTGAAATCAATCTCTGGACCTTTGAGGCAATTCATAAACTTATCTAGAAAGATACAATATAATGTTTCTTTCCCTGTTTGCAAGGAGCCTAAGCTGTAGTTGAGGTTCTCCATTCTGCACCCCAAGGTTCCTCAAAGGCCTTGGGGAAGGGAACAGAGGCAGGCTTAGCTATTGCTGCATGAAAAGCTTTGGTTACTTCCAAGGGATTCAGTGGGGGCTGTCTCTTCCTTTGGCAATTGCAGCACCCAACAAGCCTTTTTATTAAAGGCATAAAAACCTTAGCAGAGAACACCCTAGGTTGGTTCTTAATCTCAGTCACTTCCTCTTCTTGTCTGGGTTCGACTGGGAAGACCCCAATTCAGACAGTTCCCTAGAGGCCTCCCACTAAGCCCCAGTGGCACCCTGAGGCTTGGAGAGATTAGGTGTGACCTCTCCTGTGGAACTACTGCCTGAGTGGGAGGAATAGACATCTTAGCCTGTTTGGGTGGCAAGGGAGGGCCATCCAAAAAGGGCTCCTAGGACCCAGGGTGCGAGGGAAAAGAGGGCGAGCATCCAGCTTTATCTGGTGAATAGCCCCTCTTTTCCCTATGCCTGCATGTAGACCGCTTAGGCTTGAATTTACTCTTATGGTGACGAAGCAAGCTGGTCCGGGTGTAAAAAACTCCTGAGGGAATCATTAATATCTGAAGAGATAACCCCCTTTGTCCATGAAGGCAATGTTGGGAAATTTGCTGAACTAAGGAAGGCCTCATACTCACCTCCGCCTGTTCTAGTGAATAACCTGGAGAATCACCAAAGGCCACTTTGCCTGGGATCTCCAAATGTATAGGCCTCCTCCGTTGGGAGGAGAGAGGCTGTCCTGCCAGAGTGGCTGGGGAAACTCAGCCAGATGGGCAGGGTATAAATAATAGAATCATAGAATCATAGAGTTGGAAGAGACCACAAGGGCCATCGAGTCCAACCCCCTGCCAAGCAGGAAACACCACCAGAGCACTCCTGACATATGGTTGTCAAGCCTCTGCTTAAAGACCTCCAAAGAAGGAGACTCCACCACACTCCTTGGCAGCAAATTCCACTGTCGAACAGCTCTTACTGTCAGGAAGTTCTTCCTAATGTTTAGGTGGAATCTTCTTACTTGTAGTTTGGATCCGTTGCTCCGTGTCCGCTTCTCTGGAGCAGCAGAAAACAACCTTTCTCCCTCCTCTATGTGACATCCTTTTATATATTTGAACATGGCTATCATATCACCCCTTAACCTCCTCTTCTCCAGGCTAAACATGCCCAGCTCCCTTAGCCGTTCCTCATAAGGCATCGTTTCCAGGCCTTTGACCATTTTGGTTGCCCTCCTCTGGACACGTTCCAGTTTGTCAGTGTCCTTCTTGAACTGTGGTGCCCAGTTCAAGTTATTATTATTATAAGGCGAAGTCATCCTGCATGCAAAGGCAGAAAATCAATGCGACTGAGCACACTGCTCTCGCTGCTCCAACTCCTAACTGGTGCTGGGATCCGAAGGTGCAGCAATAACGCAGCCAATCAAGGCAGGGAGAGACCACAGAGAACATGAAAGCCACTAGACCAACAGGTGCAGCGATCACCTCTCTAGGAGCTGTTGGGGCCTCCTGAAGAAACGCTGAGTTGTTGAAACAAAATGACGTTCCTGCCTTTTTCAAAAAAGGGCAGTAAATGCAAGCTCCTCTTCCCTTCCCCAGACAACCGGGGGTGGGGGAGAGAAAAATGAAGAGAATGAAGTAGAAATTAAGATGTTTGTGGGGGAGCAGCCAACAGGAAAGCACAGTGAAAAAACTCAGAAAGATGATCTAGCAAACCGGATGAAGGTGAGGACTAGATAAAGGGAAAATCTACACAAAACAAGCACTCAAGCAAATGGTTCTCTCCACACAAAGAGAGAGACATGAAGACCCAACCATCCCTTGCAGTAGGCAGGGTTGGAATGACTACTCCACTCTGGAGAGGATGTTTCAAGTTGAAGACTGTGCCTGTGTCTAGTAGGGGGAGTCATTCCTATCAGGAATGGCAACCCCCTCCATCTGGTAAATATCACCTTCTCCATCTGTCTCTCAACTAATTCACAGTCTTCTATCTACTTCCAACTTACAACTACTTACATCTATAATATGAAATATTTTGGTCCTACTTTGGTGCTAGGTTCCTAAACGACCACACCAAAGTCACATGATAAATCTTACACCAGGCTTACATTTCATCAAAAGCATGAGCTGCTCACATATTGATTGCAATGGTGTAGAAAACAGAATACGTTCAATAGACCATTGTGGAAAATCTGAGACTTAATGGTGCTGAATGAAACAATACAAATATGGGAAAGAAGAATCTATTTAACATAAGTATTTCAGGGGGGGGGGGAATGGTTCCTTTTATTCTTATTGAAATACAACAGAATATGTGAGCAGCTCATGTTGGATACTGTAAGAAGATGAATCAAATGTATTTTTGCTGTAACTGTAATTCTATAGATTTAAATTTTAAAAATCAGACCAAAAACATGATCTTCCTAAAACATATTTAGGAATATGTATGCCATAGCCATACCTCTTTAAGAATGAGCACACTTTCATGATCATCTACAGACCATAACTTGCATAATGGATTAGACAGTTTGTGAAGGTGACTACGGACTTTAACACAACTGCTGCACAAATAATTAGATTACTTTTCCTATGCTCTTAAAAGCTTGTACAAAAGATGAACAAAACTGTTTGATAAATATTTTCTATTTCTATATTTCACTGTATTTTATTTCAGTTATAGAAACAAAGCTACAGAGGTGAACAACCTCTCAGTTTTTAGAGCATAATGGAAGTATGCTCAAAATGTAAATGCAGTTATCTTATGTTCATATGACTGCTTCATTTTTATTCAGGCTTAATGCCCTCAGCCAGTGACCTTAGGAACTGACTAGAAAACTAATATAGGAACTTCTAGAAATGACAGTTAACAGATATGTCCCCTGGGGAACCAGACACCATGTCTCTTTAGGCTTTACTTCCATTCTGAAGCCATCTAAGGGAAAACAATTTATATTATAATCAGGAACTAAAAACCCATGCATCTCTACTGATAACTATTATCTGGCTCTATAAATAAACAGTCCCTCTTGTTCTACAATGTAAGAAAATAAAAGGGAGAGGCAACTTAAGTATACATGGAGGGAATCCAAGAATACCGAATCAAAATTATATTAAGACCCACCACCACATTTGGACATAAACTTAACAGCTTTATGACAGGGTTATGTCTTCCTAAGACAGATAATTTATGACATCCTAGCTAGCATTTGGCCTTAGGTGTACTGTACTAGAATCTAGATGAGGAAAGTTACCTGGGGTAAATTTTGTTATCCTTCTTTCCCTTGTGTGTCCCCATATCTGTTCTGGAGGGAGTCACCAACCCTTAAGATAAATGTTGATGGCACATTTGGGGTTGAAGGGGGAAGAGAAGAGAAAGAGGAAGTCTACTCCACTTGCACACAGATAACTGCACCCACTGTCTTTGGTTCCTTCTCTCTTTTCTCAAGACCTTTGTCCTTCTTGTCTTACAAAACACTCATTTTTTTCCAGTCTCTTCTCTGCCCAGCTCACATTTAACACAGTGGAGTTTACTTCTGAGTAAACATGCATAGCACTGCACTGTAAGGGCAGTCAAATTAGTAAGTTAATTCTTATATGAATTCAATGTTCAGTGTAAAAATTACCCAAACCACAAGGAATCTGTATTCGTACCATAATTTAAAGACTCCATGTAAATACTTCCAAATGGGTCCTGGCTCTCAAGGAAAACTTTTGAATGACTCAACAGCAGTACTGTATACGGAATATTAATCAATAAAGTAATTTAATTGGTCTAGCCATATTAACTGTGACTAATTTCCACTCTCCTTCACCCACCTCCTGTCTAGAAACTGGTAACAAGTATACCCCAGCACTTTAGGATAAGAAGTAACTTTCTGGAAATTTTGGGGAAAGGCGTAAAACTCTCTTACAAGAGGCTACAAGCAGTGACTGCTTTAGGCGTGTCCAATTTGTGAGTGACTACACACATCATTCTGAACCTGGAAAGGGCCTGAAAATCTCACAAAAAGAGATGGAACAGGAATGGGGTGGAGGTGGAACAGGGTGTTTGCAGGTTTTTCAATGGTGTTTCAAATATATGTGATTTCACTTAAAACACACAGTGCCTTGGAACGCAACTCCCTGCATAAATAGGGAGTTGCCTGTAATTTAAACCTTTACGAAACCAAATCCTGTAACATTTCAAAGGAATACAGCCTAAAAAGTCAGAACAGTCGTCTTTCTATATAGCATTTTTAATAGGATAATTCATAAATTCTACTTTTAAGAATGGGCTTAAAAGCCCATTTATAGGTGCTTTAAGAATAGAACATGTACAATTTTGGTTACATTCTCTGTTTGCTCTAAAATGTGGGTTTTTAACTCTATTTTTTGTATTTGCCATATTTATAGGATGCTGAAAATCACTATAAAAAGGCTAGCTGTTAAAATTAATTTTAAGACGCATCAAGATGAAACTTTTGAGATATGCAAGGCAAACTTAAACAGGCAAATGAAGGAAGCGATTGTTTTAGACACGTCTGATATGTGTGCAACCACACACACGTGCATCACACCGAATCTGGAAGTGACCAAGTGTCACAAAAAGGTGCAGAATTGGCCAAACAAAGTGTTTGCACGCTTTCTCAAAGGATGCTCTGATTATACACGATTTCATGCAAGCGCGTAATGACTCAGAACCCAACTCCCACACAAATGTCTGTATCTTAAAATTAGCATATTTTGCTTATCTCCTATAAACTGAAGAACAAGCTATACTTCCAAGAGTTCTATTATCTCTATTTATTTCCAGCTGCTCGCTTGTTTGTTTACTTTTGCAAATGTAAGATATTTTTATACAACTGTTTAATTTACCTGGTTGGCCACAAGATAAAGCAGTTCTCCAAGGGTAGGTAAAAGGCACTGTTTCAGTTTGCTGTTCCTGAAATTTTCTCTGATCAGTTCTGTTAAGAGTGTGACTGCCTGGAACAATGAATACGTTATTAGCACAAATGGGATACAGCAGGGAAAAGCATGATAACTATGCAACTTTACAAGAAGGAAAGTAAAGGCTACAGAAGGCAAAATAAATTTTCTCTGGTAGTTTCTGAATGCCTTTCTGCAGAGGCGCAGATTGTCACAGCCAGTGCTTTTTTCTTGGGGGGACACAAGAGAACGCATACCCCTAAACATTTTGTGAATCTAACGGGAGAAGAAACTAAAAAAAAATTTTTTTTTAGTTTCTTCTCTAGCACGGTGAATTGTCAGTTCCATTGCTACCCCTGATGGCGGCCTCATTTCCTGTCACGGTGTTTCCCGAGTCTCAGACGGAAGCGAGTGTTTAATATGTAAAGTAGGAGTTGGAATCTAGCACGGTGATTGCTCAGTTTCGTTGTTACCACCTCTGATGCCAGCTTCATTTTCTTTCCCGGCGATTTTCAGGAGTCAAAATGAGAGTACCCCTAAACATTATTATTTTTTTTTTAAAGGAAAAAAAGCACTGGTCATATCTGTTCAGTCAAAGACATGTAAAGAACCAGCTGCTCCCCTACTATATCCAAGTCAATAAGATTTTTATAAATTTGACATAAGAGACCTTTAGAATGATTGCTGGATATTAAACTCTGTGCATCCTCTTAAGGTTGCATAATTTCTTATGACTACTTTAGAATTCTCCTAAAAAAATATGGTAACCCTAATTTATTATCACTGTATATACCCTCCTCTCAATATTGTATATTACCCAGTGAATCTAACTTTATTATTTAAAAATGTGAATTCTCTGCCTGGGTAGAATTTCTATTTTTGAAATGAATGCTCTCATATTATTTCTTTTATTAAAATTTCCTCTGTTTTCACACAAATTTCAAAGAATGGCAAAATGGTTTTGTGTTTCAGATGAAAAAGGAAAAGATCTGAAGTCATAGCTCATATACTTTATAAACCAACCAAGGCTGGGATGTTAGATTTTCAAAAACATTAAAACTTATGACAGTATGAAATTATTGTTTACTCATAATAAGAAACTAATTGAAGAACAGTTTGGAACATGAACTGGTTTTTTTAAAAAAGAAAAGAAAAAAGCCAACCTATTACAGACTAAATATGGAATGGTTTGAAGGAAGGCAGATTCAAGAACTCTCTTATAATCACACAGAAGGCACAGGGTGAGAGAGTGCAAATTTGACTACACCTCACTGTGGGTAAAAGGCACATGCTAAGGTTGTAGGTAATCGGGACCAGTTTATTTTTTAAATCACTTAAATACAGGCCAAATGCAATCCCAATTGTAAAATGCTACAACGTTATTTGGGAAATGGCCAATTATTTCAACCAAAATACTCTTGAGTGACTAGAACACCATCTACTATATAGTAAAAACATAATTATATTGTTTAATAGGCATCCCTGCCTAGTGTACATTGAGTCCTCAAATTAAAAATAGGATTCCCTCTTCGCCACCCTTGTATTTAATTTTAATATCCAAGTGACCTCTAGTGGAGGTTTCTATAACAATACACTGATCTGTTGAATACCTTTAAAATTACCGAATAGAGATCATGATAGAAACATTAGACCCTTGTGACATATACCCATGGCCCATCCTCTTTCCATCCCCTCTTCTGCTGTCAGCACACAGCTTTCACAAATCCCAGAAATGAATTTTATCTAAGCCATCAAGTTTATTGCTGATGTGGCTATCAACCTTTATAAGATTTTAGTTGTGAAGAACTTAGGAAAGAAATAATATTCTAAACAATTTCATTCAGTTTTCAATCCCTTCCTTAGAATATTAAAATGTTCAGTTCTGCATCTCAGTACCTTTGCCAACATTAGAAATGAGAGAAGCATAATGTTGTTGTTGTTTAGTCGTTTAGTCGTGTCCAACTCTTCGTGACCCCATGGACCAGAGCACGCCAGGCACCTCTGTCCTCCACTACCTCCCGCAGTTTGGTCAAACTCATGCTGGTAACCTCGAAAACACTATCCAACCATCTCGTCCTCTGTCGCCCCCTTCTCCTTGTGCCCTCCATCTTTCCCAGCATCAGTGTCTTCTCCAGGGAGTCTTCTCTTCTCATGAGGTGGCCAAAGTACTGGAGCCTCAGCTTCACGATCTGTCCTTCCAGTGAGCACTCAGGTCTGATTTCCTTAAGAATGGATGCGTTTGATCTTCTTGCAGTCCATGGGACTCTCAAGAGTCTTCTCCAGCACCATAATTCAAAAGCATCAATTCTTCGGCAATCAGCCTTCTTTATGGTCCAGCTCTCACTTCCATACATCACTACTGGGAAAACCATGGCTTTAACTATACGGACCTTTGTTGGCAAGGTGACGTCTCTACTTCTCAAGATGCTGTCTAGGCCTGTCATTGCCCTTCTCCCAAGAAGCAGGCGTCTTTTAATTTCGTGGCTGCTGTCACCATCTGCAGTGATCATGGAGCCCAAGAAAGTAAAATCTCTCACTGCCTAATATTCATATTCAAAAGTTAATTTCAGATGGTTTAACCAAGGCCAAAACTAAAAGATCCCCAAATACTAAGATTTTCTTAGGACATTTTGTAACTGATTATTAATCACAAAACAAATCTGATCAAACCCCACAAATTACAATTATTGCTATTGTTACTGATTTATTACCCATCCTTCACCATGAAGTCTCAGGGCTATTATTACCCCTCTTCTATCATCCATACCAGGTTCTTCATCCACTGCTACAAGTGTTCTTCCTTCTTGAAGACCAAGATTACCAGGTGAAGCAAACATGGCAGAAATTTTAGCTGGGGCAATTAGAATTAGCTCTACTACCTGACTAATCTGTTTAATGCCTAGTAAAGAAAGACCACTCGTTCATATGTTTTAGTTGTGGTCAAGGACAGTTATTAACTCTTTTATTTGTAAGGTTGTAAATTTTGTATAGCCAACCATCTAGCTATATCTGTATTTTATTGCATATTTTATTGCATTTGATTCCTTTGCTATGGCTTCTGGCTGACGCAAATAAAGATTTTATCTATCTGTCCCAGGGCACGTCATAACAATGTAAAATGCAACAGTAAAAACAGTTTAATACAAACTACAATCACAAATGTGCTAAGCGTAGACCAGGTTGCAGCCTTGCCACCTTCCTCCAAAGGTCTGTTTGTAGAGTGAGCAGAGGAAGTAGTATGCCTTAATGGAACAAACTATGAAACACATAGGTACCAGTAACTTTTGCAACTCATAAACCAAGGCAATAAAATGCCCAAACATTGCTTTTGAAAACTCCAATAATTGTATTAGCAAGGAATATTACCTCTATAACGGGAACAGTCTCTTTAAGCTCAGTTGTATGCAATGCCAGTAAACCAATCACTCGAGCTGCTTTGGCACGTCTGTAATTAAATGCATTTATTAACTTTATGAAAGCCACAAATCTGAAAATGCTAAACTATGAAAATGCTCAACTTACATAAAATGTAATATAAGTTAGTCATCACAATTAAATTAAATTAAATTAAGCTTAAATATAAGCCTCCTTAGCACTGAATTGCTTTAAACTGATAGAATTACCACAAAAACTTTTAAGCACAGGAAAATTTTTAAGCCTGGGAAGACTAAGCATTGCACTTAATTCTTTCAGATGAAAAATGGAATGAATGTTGGAAAAATGCTAACCAAGAAGGCTGGTTGCAGATAAGTTTTGCTATGCAAATCTGTCGCCTGCATCTTAACACAAAAAAGGGAATAATTTACAGAAAGTAATATGTGCTTCATTAAGTGCATACATGTGTGAATACAGAAAAGCCATCTAACTATCTGCCTTGCTTCTATTTTCCCGTTTAAAAATGTCCAACTTATTTTTCACTCACAGTGGTGATGGGGATATATAAGGATCTTACTTGTGGAGTGGGGGTGAGAAGAGTAATGCAATACAGCTATTTGCAAAAGTAGCCAGCAGAGGGAATTTAACATAGAACACTTGAGGTTCACTTACTCTGTTTTATAAAATTACAGAAAAGCAGCCGGCAAAGGAGATTGAACAGTGAATAGAGAAGGCTATGCAGCAGACAGGAATTTCAATGCACATTCAAGAACATTACTATCAGATTTCAATATATTCTAATATTCTCTTTCCACATAAACATACCGGTATTTAACAAATTTGGGAAAATAAATCAATTTCAATCAACAATTATTTTGTCTAAATTATTCACTAAATAACAGCTCTTGTATCTGACAGGTGGACATAGCTGAATGATTCTTTTGGGGTAAGAGTTTTTCCCCCTCTCCAAAACTCTGCCTCTAGCCCTCCTTATTGCTTCCCACTAAGAATGAGAAGTTACATAACATTACAAAATTATGTCAGCATCAGACTTTGAGATAGAGCATGTTCATGCTGCAGCTGCTGGCAGGTTTCTCTTAACATACCCAGAAGCATTCAAACAAGCATTCCTTTGCCTGCAGTCTGAAATAGCACAGCCTAGCAAAAGTTGCCCCATGTATTCTGTTCCAGTTGTGTGCTAGCACTATATTTTGTGGTGAATTCTAGAAACATGTAGCATGAAAAAATGTTTCATTTGGCCTCTCCTGAATTACTTCCAGTTTTATTTCTCTCTGTCCTAATTCTAACTTTTCCTCTTCTTTTTCTTCATTTTTACAGGTTTTGCAATGCAGCACCGTCAGTGCAGGCAGGAAGAATTACCAGGAAAGTGGCTCTATGAGCGCTGGCCTCCAGTCACACCACCATTCCTGTCACTCTCAAGATGTAAACCCTAACAGTATTTTAAGTACTTTAATGAACAAATATAGTATATCTCCATTCCTGTTATTCAGACAATTAAAATTAAATAATGAAGACTGGCAAGTCAAATTAATCCTTGACTCTTTAAAATCAGAGCTTTCCACACTGTGTGTCACAACACGTTAGTGTGTTGGCTGCAGTGTGTAGGTGTGTCACACAAATGCTCCCTGCTCTTCTCCCGGGGCTGGAAAAGGGTTAGTTTAACCTCTAGTTTGCTAGTAAAACTGAATTACTGTACTGTGTCATGAAATGATGACTGTCTAAAAACTGTGTCACCAAATATGAAAAGTTTGGAAAGTTCTGCCTTAAAATATTTGTATTTTAATGGTAGATATGGCAAATATTCAAGTACCCTGGATATCTGAAGGAGTGTCTCTACCCCCATCATTCAGCCTGGACACTGAGGTCCAGCTCTGAGGGCCTTCTGGCAGTTGCCTCATTGCAAGAAGTGAGGTGACAGGCAACCACGCAGAGGGTCTCCTTGGTAGTTGCACCTGCCCTGTGGAACGCCCTCCTGTCAGATGTCAGGGAAATGAAAAACTATCTGACTTTTAAAAGACATCTGAAGCCAGCCCTGTATAGGGAAGTTTTTAATGTTTGATGTTTTAATTTGTTGGAAGCCACCCAGAGTGGCTGGGGCAACCCAGTCAAATGGTTGGCATATAAATAACAAAATAATAGTAATAATATACATTTCACCAAGCACTGCTGCCATAATCTTCACTAATTTCAATTAGACATGCATTAGTTGAACTGTTTTTCTTTAAATAAGCTTTACAAGTTTCTCTTTCATAGTAAACACTTGCAAAGTACTAACTGTCAAGGTATACACAGCCTTCTTCTAAAATTCTGAAGAACCACAAAAAGCAGACACAACCCCGCCTTTTGTATTCAAAGACAGCGCTGAGAGAGGTAAATTATCAGGCCACTGTCTCCAGCTGGGGACTGGGAAACTTACCACAAAGTTAAATAGAGATATGAAGAGCGATTCAGAGAACCTGTCAAGTAAGGTCACTGTAAACCAGCCTACACATATTCATTTCTTAACCCACTATTTCTCAGTAAGTAAATGGGCCCTTCCTGGACTCTTCTCAATCAACAATCAGCCTACCACTGCTAGATTGTGTCATGGAAGATACTATTTCTGCTCCAGACAATAACTGACCACATGCAGGAGCCAAGGCCCAGGTTCTTGTATGACAGGGTTGGGAGCAGTCCTTGCTTTGGTAGCAAGCCTAACCTATTCAGAGACCAGAATGAAGGAAATGTATATGCCTTTCCTTGATCCTTTGCATGGTGTGTGGTTTGTTCTCCTGCATGAACTCAGCAGAAGCAGGTTTGTGGCCAATTTTTGAAGATACATAGACACATGCTAGTTGTCACTTACATGTCCCAGTTTGGAGCTATCCGCAACTGTTGTAGTAGCACAGGGAACTAGATTTTAAAATAAACAAACACACAAAAAAGTACAAAATTAATCACTGTGATTTAGTTCACCACCAAAAAGCATAGCATATTTAGGGTTAATAGTTTTACCTACAGAGCGCAAAGACCTGGCAAAAAATGACTGGTTTTTATTTGTTATGGGACTCAATTTTCTATTGCAGCTTTGTTGTTGTATGTATTGCAGAAGGTTAGTGTGGCGATCACACAGGGTCCCCGGACGTTTAACGGTCTATTGATCCCTGTGCCACCAACCAGTTACTCTCTGGTAAAACACTTGAGTCCAGTCAGTTGTTAAAAGTGAACCAAAAGAAACAAGTTTATTTTACAAACGTTAACAAGTTTATGGTTTCTCAGATAATATTCCTGTCAGTATCTTAACTTTAGTTTCTTTACCAGCCTATACCTTCCTAATACCTTCTGACTGATTATCTCAACTGTTTGACTGACCCCGCTTAACAAATTCTCTCACTCTCTCCCACCAGACTAGCCCAAACCTAACCATTCTGAAGGAAATCAGCCTTGAGTGCTCACTGGAAGGACAGATCCTGAAGCTGAGGCTCCAGTACTTTGGCCACCTCATGAGAAGAGACGACTCCCTGGAAAAGACCCTGATGTTGGGAAAGATTGAGGGCACAAGGAGAAGGGGATGACAGAAGACGAGATGGTTGGGCAGTGTTCTCGAAGCTACCAGCATGAGTTTGACCAAACTGCGGGAGGCAGTGGAAGACAGGAGTGTCTGGCGTGCTCTGGTCCATGGGGCCACAGAGAGTTGGACGCGACTAAACAACAACAACAACGATTAGAACGTTAATGTTCTTCGTTCTTGTTATGCACTAATTCTTCTTACACTACAGTCTTCGGCATTTTTAATCAAAAGTAAGTTTCACTGTGTTCAGTGGGGCTCATTCATGGGTATGTGTACATACGATTGCAGCTTTAGTTTCTTAAAATACCAGTGAAATGCACCCTAGCAAAAGGTAGCTGACTTTTGCCATATTTGCTGGCATGTCAACTTGTGGGCTCTAGCAGTGTTACTTACCAGCTGTGTGCTGATTAACTTAGTGGCTACTTCTTTATTGCCAACAACAGTGCAGAGGTAGCAAAGTAAATTCAGTTTAACTCTGGCTGCCCCTGTGCTCTTCTCTGGGGAGTCAGTCAGCTGACATACTTGGTGTAAGAAGTCGTTCCAGTCGTCTTCTTTTAGCATCAACAATTTCTCAGCTGGAAAGAAAAATAATGTTTTAAGAGCACTTGTTATTAATATAATTTCCAAGACCCAATACTGAAACATAGTATAGTTCTTTCTACCTACTTGAACCCCTGAAAAAGCTTGTTGTGAACATACAATGTATGTCCTGGCCTGACTGCACAGGCAGCCAGTTAGTTTCTGGGCCAAATTCAGAGTGCTGGTTTTGACCTACAAAGCCTTAAACAGCTCAGAACCACAATACCTCAAGGACCGCTTTTCCTCAAATGAACCAACCTGCACCCTGTGATCATCTGAGGTCTTTCTTCGTGTGACTTCTTCATGAGAGTTCTGAAAGGTGGCAACACAAGAATAGGCCTTTTCTGCAGTGGCTCCCCATCTGCCTGGCTCCTTCATATATCTTTTTGGGAGCCAGATGACAATGTTTCTCAAGAATCAGGGCTTTGGTTGATTAAACCATTTATGGCCTTTTAAATGTGTTTGTGGTAGAGAGGGTTATTGGTTTGTTTCTGTTTTCTGTAACGTATTTTGTGTTCTTGTTTTGTATTTTTATGTTGTGAAGCACACACACCCCTCCCCCGGGTGATCTTCAGATGAATGGTGGTATGCAAAATAAAGAAACAAGAAGATGATATACTATTATTCCAGACTTGCCTTTAGGCAGGAAGCAAAACAAAGAAAGGATCTGACTTGTCACAAGATCCCCAAAACTTTGGCTCAAATCCACATAGCAGAAAATCTTGACAATGCTTCTAAATAGTACATAAGGAAGTGCTCCTCGGGAAGAAAGTTAGTATGCTGATAGTGATCTTTTGTTTCTATAAACAGCAGCTTAATATAGTACTAAAAAGCATGCTGCAATCGCTACTGGAGCAGCATCACTGTTTTATAAAACTTAGTGATGGTCAGTAAGAATCTACCCTATAAATGTGTTTTAGACTGTGCTTTAGGTATAAATATATCACGCAGGACACACCACAGTGTGACAAGGTCACCTGACCCATAATCATTTGAGTAAAGCATAAAATAGAGGTATAAGTGACTTAGGTTGCAATTGTATTAGAAACAGAAATAAGTCCAACAAAACTCAATAGAGCTTCCTTCTACCTAGGCATATATAAAATTACTGTATTTTTCCATGTATAAGACTAGGGGTTTTCCCCTAAAAAATAATGTCCAAAATTTGGGGGCTTCTTATACACGGATAGATTGCCCCCCATTTTCTTAACCCGGAGTCCCCAAAAATAGGGGGCGTCTTATACATGGGGGTGTCTTATAGACGTAAAAATACGGTACATTGTGAAAAAACTACTTTTTTGCTAGCTTATATTGAATTGGATTATTACTCTGGTCCTGTTACACTATTCCTTGTGAGCCAAAAATACAGCATGCCAAACATGGTCTGCAACGAGACGTAAAGCTGTGATCTCAAATTTATGCTCAATATAATTTAAAATGGCAATTAATTATAGCAGCTGTCCCTTCTTACTTGGGCATGCATCCTATTTGTGAGAGTTGGGAGTGGTGAGATGCAAAACACACAGACATGAAAACAACAGTGTTAAATGAATGCTAAGACATTTTTGAGTATCAAAGAATAATATTTTCTTGTAAATGGCAAGTTGCCTATAATTACTTTAGCAAACTGTACCTGAATGTGCTGGTACGTGTAAAGTTTTCACGTCAAATCTCACTGGTGGTTGCTTCACTATCTGAGAAAAAAATTGTTTGACTTCAGGCAATTCTGAACATCTCACAGACCAAGGGTACACTATGCACCTCTCCTCAAATAAAACACTTTCTACCATAATAAACAATGAGCTGTCAATATTTCAGCTATAAATACACAAACTTTATGACCAGTAGGAAGTCACTGAACAAGCTACAAAAGGAAGCAGACTGATTTCCAAAACACTTCCTCAAAATGGAGAAACTCCTCAGTGAAGCCAATTCCAGTGGAGTTCCCTGTTGGTGTTAATAGCTCAATGGCACTGACAGGGAACCCCACAGGCAAAGAACAACTGGGAGAAAACATGAAGTTCTCAATTATTCCTTTGTAGCCAAATCCATACCTGCCCCACACCTGACATCATATATGACTGATTTCCGGGGAGTGGTCTCATAGGCCAAACTGGAACCTGTGCCAGATTTAATTAGGTTCTCCAGTGGGTATAACCGAAATAATACAGTTAATGTGAACAAAGTATAGTTAACTTTTTCCAAAGCAAGTTAATTTTCAGGGAGGCCCATATTTTGAGTTTACCTCCAGCACTGATCTGTGGCTTTTTTTTGGTATACAGTATTCTTAACAAGCTATCTAGAGTCAATACCACTTATATATTGTAATGATTCTCACCTACGTTTTGACAGATTGTTTTAGCTAGACCTTTTGTGAATATGCAATGCCATATCTGATCCAATATATCTGAACTTGTCATTTTGCCCAAGGCTATTTTAAAACCTGTGGGACGCGGGTGGCGCTGTGGGTAAAAGCCTCAGCGCCTAGGGCTTGCTGATCGAAAGGTCAGCGGTTTGAATCTCCGCGGCGGGGTGCGCTCCCGTTGTTCGGTCCCAGCGCCTGCCAACCTAGCAGTTCGAAAGCACTCCCGGGTGCAAGTAGATAAATAGGGACCGCTTACTAGCGGGAAGGTAAACAGTGTTTCCGTGTGCGGCTCTGGCTCGCCAGAGCAGCGATGCCACGCTGGCCATGTGACCCGGAAGTGTCTCCGGACAGCGCTGGCCCCCGGCCTCTTGAGATGGGCGCACAACCCTAGAGTCTGTCAAGACTGGCCCGTACGGGCAGGGGTACCTTTACCTTATTTTAAAACCTAATTACCACAAACGAAAACATCATTCTTGATTCTAGGTGTTTTGACTTATTCAGTTATCTTTTATTTACTAGCTCTAATTCACAGCAGCACGGCAGCAACAGACAACCACCAAAACTTAACAGTAAATGGAAAAGAAGGTTTTTCAAACGTATCTTGTTAACAAAAATAAAATGAGTATGTTTTTCCATATTTGAACCATTTTATGTTCCTGTCTATCTTCTTTTTCTGTTCTTTTGGTGGTGGCAGCCATTTTGTGTTATACCAAAAGTAGCTGTGTTGTGACTGGTTGCCCTCAACACCTTCTCAAAATTCCAATTGTGCCCCCAGAGAAAAAAAGGTTTGTGACTGCTGGTGTGGAGGCTTGCATTAATGTGAGTGCTATCAACTGATACAAAAATTGTCCATTTGCTTAGCATAACAATTTAGTGTAAACCTGCAGGAAGCAGGTATGGCCACTAGGTGGGAGTAAAATAGTTGAAGATTAATCCCTGTAGAACCATAAAATGGTAGATTTGGAAGGGACCAAGAGGGTCATCTAGTCCAACCCCCTGCAATGCAGAAACCTTTTGCCCAACATGGGGTTCAATTCACAACCCTGATATTAAGAGTCTCATTCTCTACCGACTGAGCTAGTGCAACAGAAAACAAAAAACACTATAAATTCCTGAACACATTCTTTGAAAAGTAATGTATGGTAAATTCAAGTAGTACCTTTGGATTATCAATTACAGGGGTGACAATAAGGTCAGACTCCAAGAAGATAAGCTCTTTCACTTTGGACTCTATATCCTGCTGGCTGCAGCATATGTTTTTATCCTAGAATATAAGCAAATAGTAGTAGTATTTACAATGACATACATTTTAAACACAGCAAACATTGTGCAACTCCTGCATTTATTATTAAAAGGCACCAGAAGGCTTCCTTGTCAACTCCAAAAGATATTAACGTAGGTAGTAGAATTAATTCATTGGTTTCCTGGAGTGACAATATTGATTCTTGAGATATGTGTGAAAGTAATGAATCCCATTATCTAGAAAAGTACATTAGGACCTATCAATTAAACAGCTGAAATTTTTCTCACCATTTCCTGATGTACAAGAACACTATCATAATCTTATGCAATAATTTGCCCATTATGTAAAAAAAAATCACTCAGATATATTCCACTGTAAATATATTCTGATCCTTCTGTATTCATGCTTGTTTCATTCAACAGCTCCATTTTTTCCACACTTTACTCCACCACCTTCTGTTTTGTAACCCCTCATTCTTCTCTTTTTTACATTCTCTCTTCTTCATCATATAACATAGTTTTCAGGCTGGTACAAATAAACTTCCTGTTTTCTTCGTGCTACCATCCCATCACGATTCTACTTTAAAGCTTATTGAGGATGCAACTTTTATACTAAAAGTAAAAAATGTAAAGGACCCCTGGAAGGTTAAGTCCTGTCGAATTAGACTATGGGGTGCAGCACTCATCTCTGCTTTCAGGCTAAGCCAGTGTTTGTCCACAGACAGCTTTTCAGGTCATGTTGCCAGCATGACTAAACCGCTTCTGGTGCAATGGGACACCTTGATGGAAGCCAGAGTGCACGGAAACACCATTTACCTTCCTGCTACAGCAATACCTATTTATCTACTCACGATGGTATGCTTTCGAACTGCTAGGTTGGCAGGAGCTGGGACAAGGTGACAAGAACTCACCTAGTGCATCCATTACAGAATCCTAAACATTTATAGTTAGAAATAAACCCCTTATTTCCTTCTTTACAAAGGACTAAGATTGGGCTGTACTACTGCTTCTTTGCCTTCAGCTCTCTGATAATCTTCATCACTAGTTTCTGTTTAATTTATTCCACCAAAACTAGTTTTAACAGAAATTACCAATTGCTGTTTTCTAGTTAAATATAAGGGCCTCATCATCATCCCCACTCTTCTCAATCTGTGTGCCTCTTCTGACACTGTCAATTATTTTATCACCATCCTTGGCTTCAGTAATGCATTTTTTTCCTAGTTGTGATTTGACAGCTCTTCCTCTTCTGTTTTTCTATAGCAGTCATATAGAATTCAGTCTCTTGCTTCAGTTTCCTTCAAACTACACTCACCTTTGCTGAAGGACTTGGAGGTGCTGTGTGTGCAGAATTTGTAGCTAGAACAGCAGCAGCATTGTTTATTTCCACTGTGGTGGTAGTTCTAGGGGTGGGACGAGAACTGAAAGACAATATACACATGTTTATACAAAACTGAATACTTAAATGCAAATTATCTGAATTATTTTCTACAACTTCATTTAAAAGTATTGTGCTGTCTTCATACCTGAGTAGAAATATAGATTCATTTGATTCACCATCAACAGCACTTTTAGGGCGTAGTTCTTCGGGATTTTCTTGACAAAGAAAATATTGTAACTATTTACCAGCATGAACTATGTATACAATTGTAATGTTTCAAGCATGCATTTTAGTTCTCTGTTTTACATTACAGTGGTACCTCGGAAGTCGAACGAAATCCGTTCCAGAAGTCCGTTCAATTTTCAAAATGTTCACAACCCAAGGCGCGGCTTCCAAATGGCTGCAGGAAAATCCTGCAGCCAATCAGAAGCCACGGAAGCCATTTTGGATGTTTGGGTTCCAAAGAACATTCGCAAACCAGAACACTCACTTCCGGATTTGCAGCGTTCGGGAGCCAAAACGTTTGACTTGCAAGGCGTTTGAGATCCAAGGTACGACTGTACATGGTCGCCCTCAAAGCTGTTTTCATTAACCAACATCCACATGTCAATTGCTCAATCAGGACTAACAAATGTAATTTCCTTGCAGGTGCTTTTGAATCTCTCACTCTGAACCCCCTCTTCTTAGCCCTTTGTTCATTCTCTCCTTGCCCCCACACTTTCCACTAGCCCTCCATGAACCTGTACTGACAGAAATAACTGCTATTCAAGGTACTCTGTGTGAGAGAGAAAGCCTTTTTCTCAGCTGATCTGTGAAACGCAGGGGGAAGAAACCTACTTTTTAGATCAGCGGTGAGATGGACCTCTCTTGCACACAGTGGATGCCTATAGAATACCAGCTTCCTTGTCCCCATGCCTCATAAAGATGGAAAAAGAATCTCTTTGCTAGCCCCATGTTTGCTGCTTTGGGAAGTGCCAAGCAATAGGGCTAACAAGCCACTTCTGCAGTAGTTCCCCAGGTCCCGACAGGACCCTGCACAAGGGATTGTAACAGGTGGGCAGGACAACACACCTGTCAATCATGTGTTATCATAATAGTGACTAGCAGGTAAGTGGCCATCAAATTTGCCCATGAGGCCTATTTTGGTAAGAATCTGGCTCAAGAAACCAAAACAGTTCCCAATTCCTGAACCAATACATAAAACGAAGGTGCAATCTTACCCAGCTTGAAAGATCTGTTAAGTTGATTGTTTTCTGTTCTTGGCAACATTATTTCTGGAAGGCTTTTACTCTCTAATTGAATCTCAGACTCTCCAGGTTCAAGCAGTTCAGCTTTTTTCCTGCTGTTCAAACAATTGACAATGAAATGTACTTTGCAGGCAATGCAAATTTCTCTGCATTTTTTCCCGGTCAGATCCTTAAACAACTGCAAAATTATCTTTTTACTTATTTATATACAGACAAGCAATTTTTTATTTAATTCATTTATGTTCCACTCTTCTTGTCCAAGGATATCAGCTACACTGCTAAGGGGTTGCAGGACAGCAGCTCTCTAAAAGCAGGGCTATAGCCAAGGGTGAAGCCATATTGTTCTGTTGCAGCAAAAAGAGGGAATCTTGTGACATCTTAAAAACTAGCAATGTTGTGGCAAAAGCATTCAAGAGACAGAACCCACTTTGTCAGAAATCTTTAGCCTCATGCATACATCCTTCTCACAGTAAGTTTGTTAAGCAACAGAATTCAAAATTTCAAATTAATTTTAAACTGAGTCTACTGTACCTGGAGCTTGTTTCTTGGCTGGAGATTGTGTCACTGGGAATTTGGATAAAAGCATCTTTCCAGAAAGGATGCTGCAACAGCTTGGCCCAAGTCAATCTTTAAATAAAATAGGAAAATACATATACAATCCTCTCATACAGTACCAATTTAAATTCCACAAACTTCTAGATTTATTTATTTTTAATCAGTGTGTATCATTAATAAATAGCCAGATCTTCAAATCATAATTTTACCTCTTCTGAGGATCCTTTTGAAGTAAAGAATCAACCAAGTTAAGGAAGTCTGAAGATGGTTCTAGAGATGCTGATCCTGTAAGATAATGAAACTATTCTATTTTGAAACAAATATGATTCTACTGACTACCAAAATCTACAAACAGCAACATAAAAGAATTCATATATTAACTTCTTAAGGAGGGAATGCATGGAATCATTCACTCATTTGTCCCATTTTATAAACTTATAAAATTATTTTCACCATCATTTATCTAAGGAACAATACCTTTCTGTGTAGGTGGGAAAGGATCTTCATGTAAAATCTGTTCTGCTAATTCAGTAACACTTTTGGAGAGGAACGGAGGTCTTCCTAGAAACATAAGTAGATAAGATTTCAGTAAAACTTGAATAAGCATCAGAACAATTAAGTAATAATTTTATTTGCATCAGCCAAGAGTTATTACAAGTCCATTTAAGAGAACATAATAATAATGGAAACTTGGCAGCATTATACCAATTGATTTATAAAATTTTTCATCTGTTTTGCTTAAGGCTCTTGACAGCAAGAAACACTGAGTTACACCTATAATTCATAAAAAGATACACAATTGGGGGGGAAATCAAACCAAACAAGATGCAGAAGATCTGAGATCACATCCCGAGACATTTCCTTTGGGAAGAAAAAGCAGCCACAGAAAGGGATCTGGGCAGAAGCAAGAATGGGTGGGGGAATCTTTCCTCTATGCCATTCTCATAGTTTAAACACCCACCCACCAAAAAACCCTATACTATTTGACCTACTGGCAGAAGACAACTTTTTTGAGGGAGAGGAAAGAGCTAAAAAGTTAATATCAGAAGATGAAATCATAAATTACTCACATCTCATTCAGTGAGGCCCTAATAGATTGTCAGTTAATCATCTTCTTCCACCTCCACTCTGAAATGCTGTGGCTGCAGCAGCCACTCCTCACTATCATACAACAAAGGTCCACAGAAGACAACCATAGACCAGCAAAGTGGGTTATGATGACTACCTACTGTAGCCGAACAGTCACTTGGGATATGATTTGAAATTCAATCAGAGTGTTCATTTTATTTATTTTACTTTTATGAATTTAACAAAATTAATAAGTCACGTGATAAAAATAACTGTCTAAGTGATTTACATGAATATGAAATAAAGCATTAAAATTTTATTTATAATGAAGAAGGTCTGCAGCAAGAACTTTAACCTAACCGAAGGGAAAAACCAAGGGCTGAGATTATCCTAGTCTGATTCTGAGATTAAATTCTACCTGCCTCTCCATACATTTCAGTTCCTTAAGACACAATAATCTTTAAACCGAAAGTACATTTCAATGTCTTGCCGCGTGTCTCACTGCTTATTCTACTAAGTAACTGTATTAATGACTATACAAATTAATGTTCACAGCTCTATTAATAGCAAAGGAACCTACACAGGTTCATAAATGGAACAACATCTCCATCTTAATGTTAGTATTAGCATTTGTAACAATAATTAACATTGTAACGTAATGTTAAACATGTTAGCATAAATAATATAATACCTGAAAACATTTCATATAACAAACAGCCCAATGCCCATAGATCACTGGCTATAGAGAAGTCGCTTCCTTCTATCACTTCTGGAGCAATATATGACAGTGTACCTACAAAATAAAGTCATGAATAGTGATTTGCTCTGATTTTGTAATAAACATCCTTTCAAAAGTCACCAACATTTTTATCCAATAGTGGATGGTCTTGCAGGGTAGGATCACTCATCTGACCTCCAGTTAGTAATGTTACCGCTTACGGGAGGTAGAGGGGGAGAGATGAAGCCATGGGGAGCTTGGCAACAAGTGCGCTGGATTTGCTCCACCATTTGCACCATGCCAACCTCACCCCTCGCTTTATACTTCCTGATAAGCAGCAGTAATACAAGTGACTGGTGGTGTCCCACCCTGGTGTCCACTACTGCTTTCATCTTAAACTCATTACTGGGATACTCAAAAGGAATTTCAGACTTGATTTTCTTCTAAGTCTTTGCTAATGTAACAGGGTACAGTAAACATACCCAGAACAGCTCCAATAATCACAGAGTAACAACCAACCAGGAAGAAGCGTAAACGCAAAGACTGAGTGCACTCTACTTTGTCTAGCCCTGCATCGTACAACAGCAGGAAGGTAACCCCAAAGTGGAAGAACTGGAGAGTTCAGGGAAGGAGGCTGGGGTAATATGGCACCCAGCATTTATCTGATGAAACTGACAGCCACACAACTCAGCTCTTTGAAAACGTAACTGCTTGGTATGACTTTGCACTGAGGAAATGACTCTAAAGGGTTACTACTGACACTAACTAGCACAGCCAACGGTGAAGAATGATGGAAGCTGTAGCAACATACTGAGGGTCACAGATGCCCTATCCATCAAATGTAGAATCACTGCTTTCAATAAGGCAGGGTAAGATATCACTGAATTAGTTCCCCCATTTCAAGTTTTAGAAAATAGAACCATTACACAATTTTAATTACAACTCTGTCTTTTGCAACTGTTGTCCTTACATATTGCAATGTACCTCTGAATCTGTTCTTCAGATTTTGTCTTGAGTTTTCATCACTATCACCTCCTCCGTCTTCTGTTCCAATTAAAGCAAAAAATTCCTCCAAGTTTTCACCCTCTGCTTTAGCCAAGCAAAAGTTACTGAACTTCAGTGTACCAGGTCCTTCAAGGAGAATCTGTAAGGTATATCAATTAGTGATTTCTTGAATTATTTTTTTTAAAGTTGTTTTCAGAAATCATTCCCTCTTACCTTCCCAGGTGTAAGGTCACAGAAGAGAATTCCAAGGTTGTGAATATGATGGAGTCCAGTAACCAAATCAACACCAAATTCTCTCACAACCACCTCAGGTAGACATTCATCTTGAGTAATTACCATTTCCAGTGATCCACCTGTAAGGCATTTATGGATATTCTGCTATGTTTTTTTAAAACAACAACAACAACAAATCAGCTGACCTCTGTAGTACTATGTAAATTTTTATCCTCAAGCTTTTTCTGACAAAATAGGCATACAAAACCTTTGATCTACACTGCCCACCTGCGATTCCTAGCATGCAGTATTCAGAGCCATAATGCCTCTGACGCTGGAAGTAGAAAGAACGATTGGTCTTACCTGAAGTGAAGATTTAAAAGTGGGGCACCAGAGCCAATGGATTAAGTTTTATTTTTTGCTGATTACTGTTGTCTATGCTCTGGTAACCTCTAGGTTAGATTACTGCAACACATTATACGTGGGGCTGCCTCTGATGATGGTACGGAAACTTCCACTGGCACAGCATTCAGCGATCAGGTTGCTCACCAGGGCAAGCCTGCTTGAGCATATAACACCAATCCTGGCCCGATTGCACTGGCAGCAATATGAGAACAGGCCTTTCCTCTGGTAGCTTCCCACTTGTGAAATTTTGATTGGACCTAGTAAAATGGAGGTGGGGAGTCTAGGGACCAAATCCATCCCTCAGGGCTTCTCTAGATGGCCCTTGGGAAACAACGGCCACAAAACATTGTGTTTAACAGCTGCTTACCTGTGCACAATTCCACCACAAGCCAGAGGTGATTGCTTGTTTCATACCATTCATGAAATGTTACTATGTTCTTGTGCCTAATTTCATGAGTAAGGCGCACCTGCAACAGATTATCCACACATGAGTTGGTTTGGGCTGAGGATGGGACAGGCACAAAATGGAACAGTAGCTCTTAAGAAGTTGGAATTCAAGAGATGTCTACGCAAAAAGCAATGTAGCAGCCTAGAATTCCCCCGGTCCCCATGGGAAAGGCACAAGAGGATGGTAACAGATTAATACATTTGTGAAAAATGTTGGGGTGGATTCATTATGTTCCAAGAAAAGTACAAAACAAAAGGTGTGATTGATGGTTTACAGATTGTGAAGTTTCAAGACAGAAAAGGATTGAACAAAACATTGAAGGCCTATAGCTATTTTTTTTTTTAAAGTTTGAGATTAGTCAATGAAAAAGATTTTTTGAAACCATAAATTGCCCTGTAGGCCTCTTCATGGACACTTCATTTGATCAAACCTGATTAGTCTTTGTAACAAAGGTGAAATGGGAACCAAATCCACCCATATATACCATATATTACTCTTGCTTCTCATCCCCAACAGTTAATTCAGAAAGAGGGAACTGCCCAAGACAAGAGCCTTTCAGAGTTAACTAAAATAGGGATTGATTAAGCAATTGTCAAATCAGTTTCAGACAAAACTGTGGCACACAAAAATCCTGTGGGTTGCTGTGTTTTTGTGCCAAGCTCTCTTCACACTATCGTAATAGATCTATACAGCAGTCACATCTTTCTCCAGCACATCTGAATTACAACCGTAGTGAATTCTCCAGAGATATATGTAATGAACTGTTTACCTCATAAAAGTCACCAACAGTTGTTGCATTTATGATTTTTCCAGAATGCAAAGAATTTCTTATGAAACAGTCACGAAGCATACAATGAACACTCAGGGTACCCACCATAATTATCCAATCTGAGCACACCCAAAATTTAAGAGGAAAAAGAAGTTTCTAGATTCTGCTAAAGAACCCCTTTAAAGTACAGCTATTTGGAACATGGATCTTGTTCAAAATTATTGTGGACTTTTTCAACCAAATGGCACATTTGTATCTGAAAATATGTTGAATAATTTCATTTACATCTCTTTCTAAAATAATCAATGTAGTTCTTACCCAGTTTGTTATTTCAGCTCTCTTGCATTTCTCAGTGCACAAAATAGCCACAAAATTAATAGTTCCTTTTCTTCTGCCTTTATATACAACCGTTTTGCTTCCTCTTCCAATCTCTTCATACAAAATAAAGTTCTCCATAATAAAATCTGTATACATAAATTAAATGAAAGCCACAAAATTAAAACCTCAAAATGAAAGGAAAACTCCTCTAATTTAATATAAGAATGAACACCTTGATTTTTTGAATAGCATAACCTACAAAATGTTTTTAGGCATGTAGTTTTACATAGTCTTTAAGAGAACAACTTACACCAGAGAATCAGAACCTGTGGCCCTCCAGAGGTACCTAGAGTCCAAATCCCATCTGCCTCAGCTAGCAGAGCCAACTTCTGGAGGACCACCAGTTTCTCATCCCTGACATGCACAACAACCTACAACTAAGGGAGCCTGAGCAACACAATAGTTATACCTCGGGTTACAGCCGCTTCAGGTTGCGGACTGCCGAAACCCGGAAGTAGAAGAACGGGTTACTTCCGGGTTTTGGCGGTCGCGCATGCGCAGAAGCGCTAAATCACACTTTGCGCATGCGCAGAAGCGCCAAATCACAACCCGCGCAGTCGCAGGTTGCAAATGCTGTGGGTTGCGAACGTGCATCCCGCATGGATCACATTCGCAACCCGAGCATCCACTGTATTTTACATATGATGACTTTAATGTTCATGAGGAGAGCCTGAGAACTCTTAATCTAGGTAACACTTATGGTATACAAAGTGACATATCACCAAAGAATAAGCTGTACCTTCTTTCTAAAAGACTAGGATAAAATCCATTTTTAATTGTTGATTATTTATATGGGTAACTTACTAACATATTTCTCTTCTGGAGTAGGGGGAATTAACTAATTAGCAGTGCAGATTATACATTAGATTACAATTACATGTTAAGAACTTGCATAAATAAAAAAAATGTGGGAAGAGAAAGGGATCTCAAGAGTTCAAGATATTTTTGAAAGAAGCAAGCTGCTCTTGCAAGAAAAGTCGTTCCTGGTGGCGCCAAGTTCTGTTCTTGGCTCCATATCCATCAGCTATGAAGTTTTGCCAGAAAACTTTACAGGAGGCCCATAGATCTGTTACAGTGAGAATTAGTGTCTGCAACACCCAATTCAATTTGGGATAGATTATAGGGCAACCTTTATGGATCCTAGGAAATATACAAAAACATTAATATTATTATCATCATCACCGCCTTTTTGGTGCTCCCAGACCCTGGAACTCCCTCCCAAGCAGATGCAAACTTTCTTGTTTCAACAGGCTTTTGAGAACTGATGTCTTTTAATGAAAGGGCCAGTGCTGTTTTTATTGTAATTGTGTTTGCATAAATTAAAAAATGTGGGAAAAGAAAGGGATCTCAAGAGTTCAAAATATTTTTGAAAGAAACTGCTCTTGCAGCAAAAGCAGCTTTTATATGTGTGTGTGTAATATATCATATGTGTGTGTTTATATATATGTGTGTGTACATACACACACACACACAAGTGCTTTTTTCTGGGGGTACGCATACCTCTGAACATTTTGTGAATCTTTGTACTTTTGTCCATTTGCTGTATTTATTTCCCCCAATTTGAACTATAAAATGATGATTTTCTTGAGTCAAAATTAGAGTACCCCTAAACTTTTTTTTTTAGGAAAAAAAGCAGTGTGTGTGTGTAGCAACCACTGGCACTTCCCCCATCCCATTTCAGATACGTTTGGTGGTCTTCTTAACAAGATAGGCAGAAACCTAGGTATATTTTAATTTAGTTCATCATGTAATAGGTTCATGTTAGAAAATGAATATGGATGTTGAATTCGATGTTTGTGATTTTTCTTTTTTCGGTTTTGGAAATAGAAGAAGGAAAAAAGAAGGGGGGGGGGAGAGATAGGGAGAAACGCGGGCAAGTTTCTTTTTCCCCCTCGCGGAAATCCCAAGAGCAAGGGATATTCATTCACCTGTTGCGTGCCTGCCTGTTACAGTTATTAGAGGCGCCGAGTCTCTGCGAAAGGAAGGGGGAGAAGCAGCAAGAGGAGGAGAAAAAAGATGGTGAAGGTGATGGGAAAAGGGGAGGCGTTATTTCTAATTCCTTTCCTCGGAATGGACCGCTGAGTGCAAAAAATAAACCAAAAAAAGCACTCGAGTTTTTAAATCCTCCGGACGCTGCCTCTTTGCTGAGGGAAGCAGCTCCCACCCTCAGCCCCCAATGACACCCCTGAGGCACGCGGGGAGGAGCCCGTATGGGCGAGCGAAGTAATAATAATAATAATAATAATAATAATAATAATATCTCCCACTGAAAGGAAGGGCTGAGGGGCGCGGAAGACACGACGCCGGAGCCTCTAGCTCGCACGCGGCCTCATCCCGCAACGCTTCGAAGGGAAGAGAAGACGGACTACCTGCTCTCCTCCGAGGGAAGCCAGCCCCGCTCAGAACACAAAAGGAGCGCGCGCGGGGCGGGGCGCGAGAGAGCCGCTTTCTGCCGCAACCGTTAACTGAAATCCGCGAGAGACCCCGCCCTCCGCAGGCCGCTCCATTTTCGCGGGGGGGGTGCCTCTGAGGCCTTTCCGGCTGAAGGGAAAACGGGTGTTCTCGCCCGGCGGGACGCGTAGCGTTGGGGTAACACTCTACTGGAATAAAGTCACCCGTCAGTCAACTGGTTTCTCTGGGAAAGGGTGCGGCTGGAACCTTCTCCTCCTCTCTCCTCCCCCCCCTTTTGGGCCATCGTGTGGGCTAGTCCTAACCGTCCCTTCAGTATCTTAGTTACGGAACAGGACGCCGGAAACAACAGTCTGAGGGGAGTTTGGGGCGGGGCGGGGGAGAGAGAGAGAGACCCTGGGCTCGCGCTCTGCGTTAGATCCGCCCCCTCATATCAGAGGTACCCGGATGTTAGCCGCCCTGTGCAAGCCGGAGTTCTTCTCTGTTGCTATGGAAACCTGGCCTTTACGGCTTGGACCCCTCGCCCCGATAGGGCCTTCCCGCCGCAGGTGAGGGAACAGATTAAGAGTAAAGTGGTACCTCAGGTTACATACGCTTCAGGTTACAGACTCTGCTAACCCAGAAATAGTGCTTCAGGTTAAGAACTTTGCTTCAGGATGAGAACAGAAATTGTGCTCCGGTGGCACGGCGGCAGCAGGAGGCCCCATTAGCTAAAGTGGTGCTTCAGGTTAAGAACAGTTTCAGGTTAAGAACGGACCTCCGGAACGAATTAAGTACTTAACCCGAGGTACCACTGTAGTGCGAGGCTTGCTTCTACCTCAGGCTTCCTCAAACTTGGCCCTCCAGATGTTTCTGGCCTACAATTCCCATGATCCCTGGCTAGCAGGACCAGTGGTCAGGGATGATGGGAATTGTAGTGGGAATTAAGCCCACTTTGCCAACCCCCTCCCTTGTTTACGTTTCGTCGCGTTGCTACCTCTAGTGGGGCGCCAGCTTTGAATCGAAAGCCCTTCGCCAAAGCGCTGTTGAAACGCCCGCCAGAATCCATTCTGCCTGGCCGGCCCTACCGTTAGGTAGCAGGAGGCGGCAGCCCCAGGGAGACAATTTTGAGCGCTGCGAAAAACCTTTTTGCTTTTTGTATGACACTGCGGCAGATAGGTACCTATTGTTACTGTGGTGATGTTTTCTAGCAAGGGAGAAGCAGGGATGCATGTGGGATTTTCCTTCTTTGGGTGCCATAGTAGGGTGACGAAGGTCACCCCCCAGTCTCTGTGGAACAGTAGCAAGATTCCAGGGAGTTTATGTTTCCATTCAAGACATGGTGGAGACTGCTGTGTCTTTTAGAAATATGGTTTATTAACACATATTTACAACCTGGTGCAAAAGGTAAAGGACCCCTGGACAGCTAAGTCTAGTCAAAGATGACTATGGGATTGCAGCGCTCATCTAGCTTTCAGGCTGAGGGAGCCGGCTTTTGTCCACAGACAGTTTTCCAGGTCATGTGGCCAGCATGACTAAATGGTACCTGCTTATCTACTTGCACTGGCATGCTTTCGAAGTGCTAGGTTGGCAGGAGCTAGGATTGAGCAATGGGAGCTCACCCCGTCGCGGGGATTCGAATCGCCGACCTTCCAATCAGCAAACCCAAGAAGCTCAGTGGTTTAGGCCACAGCGCCATTTGTGTCCCACTTCAACCTGGTGCAGATGGAGAGACCACAGAGTTTACAGCATCCGTGTCTCCAGAGGGGCTTATCCTTCAGATGCTTTCTAAGCACCATCTCTGTGTCTCTGCCCCAGCTTGCCTCCAACCAGCCATCATGGTATCCGCCCTTCAGCCCCCTGCATTGAGTTATCTCCCACTTCCTGCTTCTCCTTCCCAGAAAACTCATTGACAAGCAACTCCTCCCCTTCTGTCTGCTCATCCCTCTTCTCCTCACTGTTCCAAGCTTAGTTTTAATAGGTTGAAGGAGTCAGGTACCAATAGGAACCAAAGTGGAGCCATATTGTCTCAGATAGCCATTTGCTAAAATTGAGGTAGTCATTTACGAACTGTCAGAAACCGTTCTTTTTTTGCAACCCACCCATGCTGGCTTATGAAGGAGAAAGTGATGCAGAGTAAGACATATTGGGTTCAGACTCTATAATCACCTTCTGCTTGATGCAAAGCACAAGATAAGACCCTATCAGACCCTATTCCAGGGCACATAATAGAAACTGTAGTTGAACTGTAATTGAACCTTACTCCAGTGCTGGTAAAAGGACAGTGTCTTCCTCTACACTGAGAGCAGCAGGTTAGCGTAGCATTGAAATATGATAAGTGTTATGGTCCTAGGGTTACCATGCTTTTTAAGTCTTTGTTTGGATGGTGTATCTTCAACCATCTAAGGGTGGAGATTAACAATTTAAGTTTCTCCTCCCATGGAAGGATGGGATAATATTCACCTGCTGAATTCCCCCATTTAGCATATGCCACAGATGAACATGTAGAGATCCTTTCATGCAGTTATCTGCATGCAGCATGCTGCTGAGTTCAAAAAGCTGTGGCTTGGGTCCCATGGAAGCAAGAATCTCAGAAATCTAATGTGGACCAATAAAAATCCTCATCTAAGAATCATGTCTTTAGCAGTGTTTGAAACTCCCATTGTTCTAGACGCATTTTGTGACAATTTCATTAGTGCAAGCTGTTTCTGAGCTCTGGGCACAGTACTGTGCCTAGGATTTCAGATTAAAACTGCAGAGTGGAAGGTAAGGAGGACCTTTTTCTGCCTCCCCACTTCCAGCTACTCTCTGAAGACTGGAGAAGAGACCCTCTTAAGAATATTAGGGGAGTGGGCAGGGGAAGGACTCAACCATGTGAAAAATGAACATATTTTAGCTGCAGCTCGTTCATTTTCAGCTTTGTAATCTTGCTATAAAAAGTGTGCCTAGACCAGGGGTCTGCAACCTTTAAGACAAAAAGAGCCGCTTGGACCCGTTTCCGAAGAAAAAAACAAACTGGGAGCCGCAAAACCATTGTGACATTTAAAACAAATATATCTCCGGAGCCGCGATCTGACAGTGGGCGGGAAGGTGACGTCGGGACGGTGCGTGACTAATGCACACACCGCCCCCATGCGACGTCACAGCCAGTACAGCGCCCGCCACAGTAGGGAGTGTCGGGGCGCACAATGCGCCTCCTCCCCTCGCTAGTATCCACCCCGGAGCCGCAGCAAAGGTGTAAAAGAGCCACATGTGGCTCCGGAGCCGTGGGTTGCAGACCCCTGGCCTAGACATTGTTGCTCTCATAACCTAGGTTAAGGGCCCACTTGGCTCCTAGCTTTCATATCTCAGTTTCTAACACTGGTCTTTAGCTATGTATTTATAATGACAAAACATTATTGATAGCTATAATGCACTTGATTTAAAATGTTATGAGGATGCATAATCAACAATTGCAGTGTTAAATTAGCCAGGGGGTAGCTATTTATAAGTGTGAGATGACTGAGATTAACAACTGGAAGAAATTTGGTTTACTTTTAAGACTGCCTTAAGACATGACAAATATACATTCCCTCCTCTCACCCCTTTGCTCTGGCCACTTGTTTGTGTTTGCAGGCATTAAATATATGACTCCTACAAACTGCAGGGAGGAGGTGGCTACAGTCCTATAGACCAGTGTTTCCCAACCTTGTGCCTCCAGCTGTTTTTGGCCTACAATTCCCATCATCCCTTGCCACTGGTCTTGCTAGTCAGGGATGATGGGAGTTGTAGGCCAAAAACATCTGGAGGCACAAGGTTGGGAAACACTGCTATAGACCAATGTTTCTCAGACAGTAGACTAGGAGTCCAGGATGCACCAGTGGACCTTGGGCTGCTTTCAGGTAGGCCTCAGAGTCACAGCTTGACAACTACCTCCTCACTTGCCTAGAAAAGTTGTTGTGGGGGTGGGGGGGGCAGTGCAGAGTGTTTATACAGTGGTACCTCAGGTTAAGTACTTAATTCGTTCCAGAGGTCTGTTCTTAACCTGAAACTTCTTAACCTGAAGCACCACTTTAGCTAATGGGGTCTCCTGCTGCCGCCGCACCGCCAGAGCCTGATTTCTGTTCTTATCCTGAAGCAAAGTTCTTAACCTGAAGCACTATTTCTGGGTTAGTGGAGTGTGTAACCTGAAGCGTATGTAACCCGAGGTACCACTGTACATTTGTATGCCTTTGAAAAACAATGCCACCTTAACCATCATGGCTTAGCATAGAGTGCGGTTTTAAAGCTAGGGCTAGAAACAGAGGTGAAAGCTGCTCCTTGGTTCTGCTGGATCTCTCAGTGGCTTTTGATACCATTGACCATGGTCTTCTTCTGGACTGTCTGAGGGGGTTGCTGTCTGAGGGGGAAGCTGGGGACCACTTTCAGGCGGTGGCTCTGCTCCTTTCTCTTGGGCCATTTCCATAAAGTGGTGTTGGGGGATGAGTGTTCAGACCCCTGGGCACTCACTTGTGGGGTGTCTCAGGGGTGTGTCGTCTCCCCTATGCTTTTCAACATCTATATGAAGCTGCTGGGCATGCTGGCTGATGCTGATAGCAGTTGTAGATCAACAACTGTAGAGTCACAGGTTTCCCATCCCTGACTAAAATTAATAACTTATCTATCATAGCTTTAACACATGCAATTCTGGCAATGAGCCCAGAGGAAGAAAAAACCACCATCAACCAGGCCATGTTTCCCTCCCTAGTCAGCAGCCCTACTTCTCTTGAATGCTTGCAGTTGAATAATGGAGTTTCCTTTTGTTTGTAGGGAATTACTGTATATATGCCACTTCCCTGCCCCCTCCAGCCCTAGTCATCACTGTGGAGTGCCACAAAACTTTGTCATAGGCCCTGTACTGTTCAACATCTCTATGAATGATTTGGATGAAAGAGCAGACGGGATGCTTACCATATTTGCAGATGCCACAGAGCAGGATAGCTGACACCCGAAAAGATCAAATAAAGATTCTAAATGATCTTGAGAAGTTGGAATGCTAGACCAAAAGCAACAAAATAAAATTCAGCAGAGAAATTAGGTACGAAGAATTGGAGGCACAAAGATAGGAAGGGCAGCCACACCTATGAGAAAGGTCTAGGTGTCTTAGTCGATTAGAACCTCAGAATGAGGCAGCAGTGTAATGCAGTACCTAAGAAAGCTAATGCAGTCT